TTTTGCTAGAGTAAATATACCAGGCAGGATCAGAGAAAGAGAGAAACAATATTGCAATGTAATTGTTTCTATACAAAAGCACTTGTATTTGTTTTTACCTTTAGACAACGTACACAAATTTACTTGTAGGTATGTTGAATATATTTTCATATTTTTGCTTTTAATTTTTCCATATTCAAAAGATGTCAGAATACCAAAAAAAGAAGAGGAAACATTTGCTGTTCAAGTGCCTTGTGTACAACAGAAATTTCATTGAGTGCAAAACAATTCACTTGAAAATTTAACCACTTTTTTTACAGTTCTATTCAGTACATATTCCTTTTGATATGTAGTTTTTGGCCCAAATTGTTTGCAAGAAAAAATATGAGAAAATATTTTTACAAAAAGCTGATAAAAAAATATGAAATGTTTTAGTTCAGTTTATTTTTTTTTTTTTATGTGAGCAACTTTTGTTTGTGTCATTGACCTTTGGCAATAACGAATGAGTGATTTTATAAACTGCAAAAAATTTGAGTAATTGTTATAGTAAGCGGTAAAAGTTTAAAGCCTTAATATATTTTAACTCAGTTTGTTATAAAATATAAATATTTAGTTTCATTTGCAAGTTTCTAGTTAAATTCGAAGAATTGTTTTTTCGCATAATAAGGAAATTAAAATTTTAATATTTAATTTTTCTCCATCTGCCGTTAAACAAATCCCTAGGCCTGTCTGTCCTGCCATGACGTTTTGTTTTGTGAACATTTTTTGTAAATTACAGGCAAAAATACACATGTTTTAATGTGAAATTATGTTAATTTGCTTTTTGGCCATAAATCATGATACAAGTGCCTCCAAAATTTGAAAAATTAGCTTTATATTTTTGGGGTTACCTTTGTATGTAATTTAAATATATATTACAAGCAATTTATATTATTTAATTTTTACATTTGTTTTACCTTGACTTGATAAATGCTAAAAATAAATGAAATTTATGCAACAAACAAAATTAAATAAAATTTTTAATAAAAAATGGATTTTTAATGTAAAATACCTTTTAAGAAAATATATTTTAAGGATAATTCCCAAAAAAAAAAAATCATGCAAAAAATATTAGTTAAAATTTTAGACTTTTTTGATTTAAAATTATTACAAAAAATTTATATTTTATATAAAAAGGTCAATGGTCATAAGTTCATAACTTTAATTAAGTAACAGGAAAAAAACATTTTTCTTTAATTAACTAAGAATGTTCATAATAATGAAATATTTTTCAAAAGTTTCAAGGATTTCCTTTGTTGTAAGAAAAACAAGACAAGAAAAGAAAACTTTAGGTTTTTGTGTCCAAATATTTCTGGACTTTATTTTCGGTAATACCTTTATAAAACTTTCCCCACCCCTACCAAATATTACCATGAATCTATGTACACAAGCTTTACATTCAATTACACTTAATTTGCAGCAGATTTTCTAATTTTTCTATTCATTTTTTCGTTGTATTTCGCAACAACTGATTAAACTAAAAAGCAATTCAAAGCATCAACTGTGAAATTCTTACCCTAAAAAGTTAATAAAACTTTCAACAACTGTAATTGAGCACGCGGGACTAAAGTATACAAAAAAGCAAATAATACTTTGTAAGTTTTTTTTTTTTTTTTTTTTGTTTTTCAAAAAGAAAAAAATATAAATAGAAAAACAAAAATTAGCAAAATTCTTACACTTAAATGTTGTAACAACAATGCGAACGACGACTAAATCCAAAACAACAATTCAATGTCAAAAATTTGCTTAAAACAAATACTTTTACTACCTTCAAATTACAGAAAACAAAAAAATATAGAAACAAAAACTCTTCCCTTATTAAATGAATATAAAACAATCACAGTTTCTTTCTTAACGTAGCGAAAATTAATGAGGCGAAAATGGGAATAATATATAGAATACTAAATTCACGCTATAATTGACATAGGTTGGGCAAAAGTCAAAATCCTGTTCTTGACATTTTTCAATTCTATACGAGTCTATTTTCGTTATACTGAGTTCCAGTTCAGTTCTAGTTCAGTTCTAGTTTCAGTTCTAGTTTCAGTTCTAGTTCAGTTCTAGTTCAGTTCTATCGTCAGTTCTAGTTCAGTTTCTAGTTCAGTTCTAGTTCAGTCTAGTCAGTTCAAGGTAGGTTCATTTCTAGTTCCGTTCCAGGTTCAGTTATAGTTCAGTTCTAGTTCATTTCTAAGTTCAGGTTCTAGTTCAGTTCTAGTTCAGTTCCTAGTTCAGTTCTAGTTCAGTTCTAGTTAAGTTTCTAGTTCAGTTCTATGGTTCAGTTCTAGTTCAGTCTTAGTTCAGTTTCAGTTCAGTTCTAGTTTCAGTATTCTAGTTCAGTTCTAGTTCAGTTCTAGTTCAGTTCTGTTTCAGTTCTAGTTCAGTTCTAGTCAGTTCTAGTTCAGTTCTAGTTCAGTTCTAGTTCAGTTCTAGTTCAGTTCTAGTTCAGTTCTAGTTCAGTTCTAGTTCAGTTCTAGTTCAGTTCTAGTTCAGTTCTAGTTCAGTTCTAGTTCAGTTCTAGTTCAGTTCTAGTTCAGTTCTAGTTCAGTTCTAGTTCAGTTCTAGTTCAGTTCTAGTTCAGTTTAGTTCAGTTCTAGTTCAGTTCTAGTTCAGTTCTAGTTCAGTTCTAGTTCAGTTCTAGTTCAGTTCTGGTTCAGTTCTGGTTCAGTTCTAGTTCAGTTCTAGTTCAGTTCTAGTTCAGTTCTAGTTCAGTTCTAGTTCAGTTCTAGTTCAGTTCTAGTTCAGTTCTAGTTCAGTTCTAGTTCAGTTCTAGTTCAGTTCTAGTTCAGTTCTAGTTCAGTTCTAGTTCAGTTCTAGTTCAGTTCTAGTTCAGTTCTAATTCAGTTCTAGTTCAGTTCTAGTTCAGTTCTAGTTCAGTTCTAGTCAGTTCTAGTTCAGTTCTAGTTTCTAGTTCAGTTCTAGTTCAGTTCTAGTTCAGTTCTAGTTCAGTTCTAGTTCAGTTCTAGTTCAGTTCTAGTTCAGTTCTAGTTCAGTTCTAGTTCAGTTCTAGTTCAGTTCTAGTTCAGTTCTAGTTCAGTTCTAGTTCAGTTCTAGTTCAGTTCTAGTTCAGTTCTAGTTCAGTTCTAGTTCAGTTCTAGTTCAGTTCTAGTTCAGTTCTAGTTCAGTTCTAGTTCAGTTCTAGTTCAGTTCTAGTTCAGTTCTAGTTCAGTTCTAGTTCAGTTCTAGTTCAGTTCTAGTTCAGTTCTAGTTAGTTCAGTTCTAGTTCAGTTCTAGTTCAGTTCTAGTTCAGTTCTAGTTCAGTTCTAGTTCATTCTAGTTAGTTCTAGTTCAGTTCTAGTTCAGTTCTAGTTCAGTTCTAGTTCAGTTCTAGTTCAGTTCTAGTTCAGTTCTAGTTCAGTTCTAGTTCAGTTCTAGTTCAGTTCTAGTTCAGTTCTAGTTCAGTTCTAGTTCAGTTCTAGTTCAGTTCTAGTTCAGTTCTAGTTCAGTTCTAGTTCAGTTCTAGTTCAGTTCTAGTTCAGTTCTAGTTCAGTTCTAGTTCAGTTCTAGTTCAGTTCTAGTTCAGTTCTAGTTCAGTTCTAGTTCAGTTCTAGTTCAGTTCTAGTTCAGTTCTAGTTCAGTTCTAGTTCAGTTCTAGTTCAGTTCAGTTCAGTTCTAGTTCAGTTCTAGTTCAGTTCTAGTTCAGTTCTAGTTCAGTTCTAGTTCAGTTCTAGTTCAGTTCTAGTCAGTTCTAGTTCAGTTCTAGTTCAGTTCTAGTTCAGTTCTAGTTCAGTTCTAGTTCAGTTCTAGTTCAGTTCTAGTTCAGTTCTAGTTCAGTTCTAGTTCAGTTTTAGTTCAGTTTAGTTCAGTTCTAGTTCAGTTCTAGTTCAGTTCTAGTTCAGTTTTAGTTCTAGTTCAGTTCTAGTTCAGTTTTAGTTCAGTTTAGTTCAGTTCTAGTTCAGTTCTAATTCAGTTCTAGTTCAGTTTTAGTTCAGTTCTAGTTCAGTTCTAATTCACAACAGTACAAACCCATATCCAAACTTAAACTTAATATACTCTCTTTTCGTACCCAAAATTTCACGTTAGTAAAAGGGTCCGAGTTGTGATTTGAACAAAAACAAAATTAATTTCAAATAACCACTTGAAATTATTCTCATTTCTACGAGCCAAAAGGGGAAAATTAACTTTTCCACTTCTTTTTGTTTCTGGTGCAGAAAAATATTTAATTAAGCAAAAATTCCTTTCAGTCACATTTATTCCCCTGCGAAATCGTTAGAGATCCTTAAGCAAAAGGTAAAACTAGGGAGTCAACACAAAAAAAAAAATATGTGTATAATTTTTGTATGAATTCAATGGGATAGTGGAACAGTTCGTTATTTCAAATGCTAAAAATGAAACAAAAATAAAGTTGAAAACAATTTCTCACTCATATTGACGTTAAAAATCACAAGGATGAAATTATAAGATTTTTGTGAATTCGTGCAAAAAGTTTTTCTTCGTTTCGTGCCCAGCTTTAAGCGCTGACAATAAATTTTTTGTTAGTGTAAGTTCGATAGATAGATTTGGATACCTAAGAATGAGTCTAATGGAAAGTTTCCCATCATCATCAGCAAAAGCATCGTTATGTATTTTTGAAAAATGTTTCCTTGTTCGTTCTAGTTTTAAGTTTTCAGGGTTTATTTAAGCATGTTTGCAACTCGTTTCTTCTACACTAACATGAATTTATATTTCACAAAGCAACAACAGAAAGACAGAGGGACGGATGAATGAACGGACGGACAGACACATTTGTGAAAGACATTAATTTCCATCATGAATTCAAGTGGACAAGTGTTGTTGACGACCACTTGCCAGCGTTATCATGAATATGATGAATTTGAAATATCACCAGTTGGATGTAGCTGGTAGTTTTTCTTTTTTTTTTCTATTTTAGTTAAATCTACTCGTAAAGCCCTTAAGTATTAGAGTACTCCTCCTCTTCTTTTAAACAATTCAATGTAAATATTTTGTATTCATCATTTTTTGCTTTTCTATTCTTCTTCTCATTTCAGTTCTTTTGTGTGGCATATAGATAAAAAAGATGGTCGTGCTGCCTGGCTCGCTGTACTTGATAGTCAAATGACAATAACATTACGAGGCTGGATGCAAACTTAGCTCGGTTTAAACTAAGCACTACAGTCTGGCCAAAACAACAACAACAGCAACAACAAATGCTAGAAAAAAGAAATAGTTGCAACAGTTAAAAAAAAATTTAACAGTAGTAGTAGTTTTGTGTGTGTGTTTGACGGCATTGGAAAGTCCCTTTTAAGTAAAATGTTGCACTCCTCCGTGCAGGAGCAGAACCAGCATGGAAATAACAATAACAACCACAACAATAATAACAACAACCATAACCACACAACGACAACAACACCATCAATGACTTCAGCAAACAGCACAAATTTGAATGCCAATGCTGAGGGCACTAAAACATCAAACCAAGCCATAGAGATACGATCTTTAGCTGCTTCCCAGCTAGAGCAGCAACACAATGGGCAGAAAAGCCACAAACAGCATAACACAGATAACGATTCTCTGGCTGGGGCAGATAGGGCGAGAAGTAGCAGCATTAATGCTGCCACAAGGGCGAGGTTAAGGGAAACATCCTCAAGTACGGGCAGTACAAACTCAAATATAATGCATTCCAATGAAGATTCTGGCATAGAGGCCAGACATCGACGATGTGGTAGCAGTAGTAGTGGTGGCGGCGGCACTGGTAATAATGGATCTCGCAGCAGCCATCGCCATCGAAAAACAAGTTCCTCAAGTGCCAAAGCATCAACAGGAAATGTAGGGAGCAACGTTGGTGCTGGCTCTTCAACAGCAGCAGCAGCGGCGTCTCCCAAAAATCCCTACACCAATACGAGTGATATGACGGCGGCTCCCAAAACAGGTGATGCATCATCATCAACTAATATCCAGCAACAGCCTCCAACAACAGCCTCTCAACGTAACTTACAATCCCACCAACAAAACTCGAATACAATTAAAAACAGGTCTTCTAGTAATCTTAAGAAAAATGCCCGCGAACGCAGTGACGACGAGAGAGTGAGTATAGCCAACGAAAGTACGGAAGAGACGACCAGACATCGTCGCCGTCGTTCGAGACGCATAAGTAAAAATACAACAGCAACCTCCTCCTCGTCCTCATCATCATCCACCTCCTCAGGCTCATCGACGGGTTCCAGTTGTAATGGCTCCTGTAGTTCTGATGATGGTGATTCGTCCACATCATCGGGTGAACCGAATTTACCGTATCCTGGCTTTCCGGAAGTGGCCCTAAAGTATTTCTCGCAAGACACGACACCCAGGAATTGGTGTCTAATGCTGATTACCAATCCATATCCTTTTTTAAACAAAAAATCAATTTTTTTTTCAATTTATTTTTTTCGGAAAAATTTCATATTTTTACTAAAAATTTTATTTGCAACACAAGCTTTCAAATTTTATCAATTCAAGTCTAAGTATTAGTTTTAGTTCTATTTCAGTTCTAGTTCAGTTTTAGTTCAGTTCTAGTTCAGTTCTAGTTCAGATCTAGTTCAGTTCTAGTTCAGTTCTAGTTCAGTTCTAGTTCAGTTCTAGTTCAGTTCTAGTTCAGTTCTAGTTCAGTTCTAGTTCAGTTCTAGTTCAGTTCTAGTTCAGTTCTAGTTCAGTTCTAGTTCAGTTCTAGTTCAGTTCTAGTTCAGTTCTAGTTCAGTTCTAGTTCTAATTCAATTCTAGTTCAGTTTATGTTTAATGTTACTATAGTTGACCTATAAAATTACGCAGCATTTTTTAATATAGTCTAAGCTCTATATTTATTTCATTACTAGAATGTAAACATAGTTCAGTTCTAGTTCAGTTCTAGTTCAGTTCTAGTTCAGTTCTAGTTCAGTTCTAGTTCAGTTCTAGTTCTAATTCAATTCTAGTTCAGTTTATGTTTAATGTTACTATAGTTGACCTATAAAATTACGCAGCATTTTTTAATATAGTCTAAGCTCTATATTTATTTCATTACTAGAATGTAAACATTTTTATATCTTATGTAAATCACAATTATTATTTTGTTGCTGTTGTCGTTGTTATTTGTTTGTAACAAATTAAAAATTAAGCCACAGCAACAGTTCAAGCCACTTTAAATTCTCCAGTTTTGTCACGTTTCTGTACGTAGATATTTTTATATAATTTTTCTATATTATATTTTTTATTTTATACATATTCAGTTTGTTTAACTGCAGGAAAATGCTAAAAAGTTATAGTCGCACCACCAGCTGTGCACAAAATAGCAAAAATAAAAAGGATTAAAGCGTATTAAGTGATGCTCATTAGCCCAACTGTGAATACTACTCCTCATCATCATATAAAGTAAGTGTCTGTCTGTGTGTGTGTGTAAGAGGAAAAACGTCAGTGGTTTTAAAGTATTTCTATGGCTGTGTGTTTAAGAGAGTATCCTGTTTGTTAGCTGGTGTATTTCAAAATGTAATTTTAAGTTGAGGATTTGATTATTTGTTAAGTTTGTGTTTTGTTTAAGGAGATAATCTAAATGGTTGTTGTAACGGAAATTGCGCACTCCATAAAAACCAAGAAAAACACTACATAAATTAAAGAATAATCTGCAAAACATGCGCCCTAATGTAGGCAAAAAGAACATAAATAAAACTTAGGAAAATTTTGTTCCTAAGCAGGCCCTTGTTAAACTAACAAACATTAATCCCTTTGGAATAGTTTGTTTTATTGAGAAATTTAGCGATTGAAAAATGTTACTTTTGATAGTAATTATAAATATTTTTAAAATCTCAGGTCCTTGAGTTTCCGCTGCTGTCAAGGAAAATGTGTGTTTTAATTCATTAATTTTCCCCCACCTTTTTTTACTTTTTACATATTTATATCCCACGTAACCCATTTACCATACAAAGTAATTGCAAATGTTTGTGCATCAAGTGCTGCTGTAATCAGCACATCATGGTCATTATTTAAATATACATCGATACTGTAATTTTCTGTATGAAAGGAATAGGGTAGTTTGGTAGTTTTTTTTAATTTACATTTTGGGTTTTTCGTGTTAACGAGCCACGTTGAGCTTTAATGTTGGTAAACACATATTGGAAGCCTAGAATATGGTCAACCACACAATCACCACTTTCAACGCATATTAAATCTATATACTCGTAAAGGATTTTTTTGTGTACGGTAATTAAACCAGGGCTATTTATTACTCTTGTTCGATAATGCCATTTAATACATATTTTGGCTGACATACACAAACAAACACTTGCTCTCTTATTTACACACACACACACACACAAACATTGACTCTAGAGAAAACATTTGTTATTGATTTGCAAATGTCTGCTATTTGGCTTAATTGTCTTTGATTAACGGTGAATACTATATAGAAAGCGCAAGTGCCCTAAAATATGCAATAATTTATTTCTACTCCCTAGTAAAATCAAGACTTTTATAACCCCGTAAGAAAATCACTGTCAGCTTTATTATTTCTAGATAAAATTTTAATATTTTCTTAAGTGTTTTAAAAAAAAAAAAGCTAAGCAGTAAGAAAACATTTCTTTCACTCGTAAATCATGTTATCGCTAAAATATATAACAGCAAAGTTAAGAGGCTTCGTGACATTATGTTTTTGTTTCTACAAGTGGCATAGTTAAACTTAGATGTTAAATTATATCCCCTTACACTTAGTAACAATGACTCTGCAAAAGTTTATCGAAATAGGGAGAGAAATATTATAAAAAAAAATCACACTTTATACAAACGTAATTTATTTAATACACATCTTAACATTTATCTTTATTGATTTACTACTTGTAGTATATGTATGGACGGACAGACGGACCTAGTCATTGATATAAACAGTTGTGACTGTATGTATTGTACATTCATACATACAACACAATAAACAATAAATAACAACATTTTATTATCATGTTCGAATTGCAAATGGTTAAACAAAAATTTATTATACATAATAAGTGAAGTAGAGATTATGGGATATTCACAGTTTGGCTTTAAAGGAGAAATTTAAAAAAAATTCTGAACTAGAACTGAACTAGAACTGAACTAGAACTGAACTAGAACTGAACTAGAACTGAACTAGAACTGAACTAGAACTGAACTAGAACTGAACTAGAACTGAACTAGAACTGAACTAGAACTGAACTAGAACTGAACTAGAACTGAACTAGAACTGAACTAGAACTGAACTAGAACTGAACTAGAACTGAACTAGAACTGAACTAGAACTGAACTAGAACTGAACTAGAACTGAACTAGAACTGAACTAGAACTGAACTAGAACTGAACTAGAACTGAACTAGAACTGAACTAGAACTGAATTAAAACAGAACAAGAACAGAACTGGAACTGTTTTATAACATTGACAATAAAGAACTATAAAAATGCAGATTTGATATTAGATATTTATGCATTTTTATTTGAAAATTTTCCTTAAAATTCTATTAATATTATTTTTTTAATATTCCAATCCATGTTCGTTAATATTTTCTAAACCTTTCTGCCAACATTAATAAATTGCCGAGTTGTTTGTAAAAGTGCTATTTAAACAAAAAAAAAAAAAAAAAACAAGAAAAAAGCTTTTAAAAATAAATCCCTTACGTTAGGCAATTATTTTTGTATTCCTATGGAAATTTCAAATTATACCTAAAAACCTGTTAAAAGCACGAAACTGTTTTACATTTCATAGATGGAATTTTTTTTATAAAAAAATACGCCACAAATAAAATATTTTTTTTTTAACAACAAATATTTTTGATAACAAAAAAAAAATAAAAATTCTGGTCAAGACTTACCAAATGTAAAGCATCGTTTTCATGGCAAAATATTCCTTTTAAAGAATAAACAGCTTAAAATCTTCAGCTTGTACAGGTTTTTATCCTCTTTTCCCTCCTTATGTTGTTGTCAATGAGTTTTTTCCTTCAATTACACTCCTCCCAGCTGCCCTTAATGGGTGTTGGTGTGTGTGCGTGTGTGAGAGTATGTTATATGGTATATGTTTTTCCTTAACTTGATTTTGATAACTATTGATTTTCTCATCAACACATGGTTCGAGCGCATATCAATACTGGTGATATTATTAAATTGCATAACACTGGGCATGTATCAGCCTTGTGTGGACGATGCCTGTGAATTTAATCGCTGTAAAATACTACAGGTGAGTCTTTTTTTATACACAAACATACATAACTACAGATATACTACAATTCTTACTTATGTATATATAGCAGAGAAGATACTATATACATTTATTTATAGAGCAATATTGTTTATTATTATTTTTTAAGTAAAATAAGGCCAATAACACATGCTGCTAGGTGTATGAATATATAGAGAGACTGAAAAAAATGAAAACAATTTAAAATATTGCCAAGTGTTTTATGTTTTTTTGCTTTTTTGCAAGGGAAATTAATTAAAAGTAGGTAGTGAAGATTTCAAATTGAATTATTTATATAAATAAATCTTGTGTTTTTAAACGAGAATGTTAAAATTATTATATAAAAACATAAATTTCTTATTAATATTACGTATAGACCTGAAAATTAAATAAACCAAATTTGTGTGGTTAAAGCTAAAGTTATAAGAGGCGTATGAGTGTTATTAATTTAGCAACTTAGCAATGTAGTAAGTTATAAGGACGTATGAGTGTTGTTGATTTAGCAATTTTTATATAAATATTACTTATACGCTTGTATAATTTCTATAAGAATTTGTTGTGCAAAAATGTCTTACGTTTTTCATGAAGTATTAAATTTTGTCAACACTTGACTTTTTGCTGTTGTAGATTTTGTTAGTTAGGTTTGTAGACAATAGGGTTTTTTTTAAAAAAGATCGGGAATTTGTGAAAATTCGGGAAAAGGTTTATAATTAAATTGAAAAAAAACTATTTAAAATTCTTAAATTAAGAATTTTGTATTTTTGAAAGAATTGGGTTTTCAAAGTTACGAAGTATTTCCGAAAATTCCCAAATTGAAAACCCTTAATTATCACACATTGGTTCATTAGTCAAAAGCACATAGAAATATACACCATGTATTCCTTATCCTCCTTCAGTGTCATACATACTATACATACATGATATGAAAGAACACAACATGTCTTCATGGCTGAACACTTTAAGAGTAATTATTTTGATAATAAAGTGTACATACACACACATATGTATATTAATGATATAACACACATACACACAAATAAAACAAATGTCTATATGTTTATGTGAGGAAAATTGTTGAAAATATCTTGATGCTTTCTTAGCATTAACAAAAATGAAGCAACAAGACAGACAGACACAAATCAACAAAATATACAATTACATACATATGTATGTACCTACATACATATACATTTTTATATGTATGCATTAGTTTATGAGTATGTGTGTGTGTGTGTGTAAAACACAAGAGTTAATATGACTCTTGTCCCATTAAAATACAATGTTTTATAGATAAAATGACAGTTAAATGGTGTTGTAGTCACTTGTCGCACAAATATTATTTTCACAAACGATATTTTACACACATACATATATTTATTACATCTACATTGGTAATTTATGTACATATGTAAGCAGATACCTTAACATATCTCTTCATATGTTTACTGAATTGTACTAAAACTTTTTATGCAAACCAAAAACGTTAGGAAAATATGTATAAAACAAAAGTTTGTAAGTCGGTAATAATTTAAAAGTAAACATACTAGACATATAACAGTGGTTAACAAATATGGCTAAAGAAAAAGGTTATTAAAGAGGAATATATTTGTTTTTAACTTCCCTTTAGTTCATAATGACTCTAAGAAACTAGTAACCACAATGTTTTATAGTTTCGGTTTAACTAAAGTGGCGATTGCCACTCTGCAGTTTACTGGGAGACACTTAAGTAAAGTAAAAGTAACCATACATGACACATAACAGTGGTTAACAAATATGGGTAAAGAAAAAGGTAATTAAAGCTGAATATGTTTGCTTTTAAACAATCTTTAGTTCATAGTGACTCTAAGAAACTAGTGACCACGCTTTTTTATAGTTTAGGCAATTGCCACTCTGCAGATTACTAGAAATTTCAAACAAGTAACTTGTTAAAACAAAGTCTTAAAGGGTTACATTGACTCCTTGAAAAAAACTGCTGGGATACAATGAATCAACTAATAAATATGTATAAAATGGGGATTTATGTTTTCAGCATACCCCTTAACACTACATATTTTGCTATAAATTTAAAAAATGAAAAAAAAAACCTTTTAATAGTTTTTATGTCAGATAATAAATTGTTGAAACATACGTGATTCATCATCATAACCATCATGTAGGTACAAAAAAAAAACAAAAAAGATTATAAAAACTACACAGATAAAACCCAAATAAACCTGTAGTAAAAAAATTGGTTAGTAGTAAATCAATAGAATTGTTTATATTTATTTTCTGTGAATAATTGAATGTAATTTATAACCAGCCTAAGTAATTAATTACAGAATTTACGTAAGAGATCTACAGCTAAAACTAATTACTACAAATAACTTAATTAAATAGAGTTATTACGTATGTATTTTGTTCTGATATTAAAATAATTTTTTCTGTTTTATTTATTTTATATAATTTAGATATTTGATGACATTATTTTCATTTTCTTTGCGGTGGAAATGATCATTAAAATGGTGGCCATGGGTATTTATGGTAAAAATACCTATTTGGCTGATTCCTGGAATCGTTTAGATTTCTTTATTGTCTTTGCTGGCCTTTTAGAATATGTAGTGCATGTGAAAAATTTAAATTTAACCGCCATAAGAACAATACGTGTCCTGAGACCTTTAAGAGCCATTAATCGTATACCAAGTAAGTAGCACAAACACTTCTTAACATTACTTTAAAAGTAATTAATTATTATTAAATAAATTTAACTTGTAATTGAGTTCCAATTACTGTAACTGTTAAAAACCTAATTTGAAAGTAATCATTACATTTTTTTTAATCATTAATATAAATTTTAAATATTTTGTAATTGGAATTGGTAGTTTTCAATTACAATTACTTGTAAATGTAATTGAAAAAATTTCAATTACTATTGGTAATTATAATGCGCTATAGCTTAATTATAAATTACTAGTAATTAATAATTTTAAAAGAAATCAGATTAAATTACTTGTAATTGAGTTTCAATTACTGTTACTGCTAGAAACCTTATTTGAAAGTAATATTTACTTTTTTATCTTAAATATAAAATTTAAATATTTTGTAATTGGTATTTTTACAATTTCAATTACTTGTAAATGTAATTGAAAAAATTTCAATTACTATTAGTAATTCTAATTATTTTACTATTTGTAATTATAATTTTATATTACAAATAATTATAATTGCAAAGAAAATCAAATTAAATTACATGTAATTACAAAGTAATTGTGAACTGTAATGATTGCTTAATAACTGCAAAATTTTAATTGTTTTTCTTTTTATTTCTTCCTACTTTTCTTTCTAAGGTATGCGTATTTTGGTTATGCTTTTACTGGACACCTTACCCATGTTGGGCAATGTCTTGCTGTTATGCTTTTTTGTCTTCTTTATATTCGGCATTATTGGGGTACAACTTTGGCAAGGTATTTTAAGACAAAGATGCGTATTAGAGGTGCCCGAAGATATACGCGTACCGTTGAGGTAAGTTTTATATTTAATTTATATTTTTAATCAAATACTTCAGTTTTAATAACAACAAATTCATTTTAATTTTAAATTTAAAAATTAAAATTCAATTTAAAATTTCTAACAGTAACTGAAAAAAATATTAATACTAATAATGTTTTCAAGTGTATATATATGTATACTAAACAGACTAATGAACAAAGTTTTTAACATTTTTGATAAATACTACCAAGATTGAATGCCTTTAAACGTTTAAGCAAGTACTAAAGAAATTTCATACAGTTACCTTAAAAAAAAACTAAAATTATTTCTAGGATTTTCTTTTAAATAAAGCAGTTTAAATAGTAAGTCTAGTTAGTTTGGGGTTTAATTTGTATTTCATTTTAAATTAATTATTTTCATTTCTTCTCTACTTCAGCTTTTTTTTACTACATTACCAAACAATTTAATTAGTTAGTAAATACCAATTAGTCATTTGGAAATTTTACTCCTCCTCAGAAAGAAATTTATATATTAAACAAAACATGTATGAACATATTGTACAATAAAAGCAGCATTCATTTTAAAACATATTGTAAAATATTTAAGCACATTCCAAATAACAAACAGTCAGTCAGTCAGCCAGTCATTCAAAATGAATCAAATTTACACAGAAATTACCAGAAAAAAAATGAACAGAAATACTTCAAATTATTATCGTATTACCATTAAATAAAATAAATCAAAAAAAGACAAATTTTCTATAATTGCCAATAAAATTTAAACAACAATAGCATACTCTAGCCAACAACAATGGTTGATAAAATTTGTGAATTATTTACATAAACACAATGACAATGACAATTGTAAAAACATGTCGGGTTATGCTTCTGCCCGATTGTTGTACTCATCAGACAACAAGTGACAGTAAAAGTGTCAGTGTCAGCAGTAAATTTCAAAACTTTGTCAACATTTATTTGAATTGTTTTAGCATACAGAATTAAATTCTGTAATCTCGTCCCAACCACTTTCTCCATCTTCTATCATTTAACCATATACATGTAAACATAAATATGTTATTTATACAGTTATCTGTATATGAGAGTTTATGTATGTGTGTGTGTCCAGTTGTCACCACTATTTTGGGTATAAATTCCTCTCGTAAATGTATTTTCACCCATACAATTAGCGCCACCCACCACACTCCGCTCTCCCTACAAATAGAGCAAAGTTTGTATTTTTGTAAATAAGTATGCTCGTTTGAGTGTTCTCATTGTAAGAGTGAGTGCAGCAACAATGTAAACAATTACCAAAAACAAAAAATAAAAAATAAACAAACAACACTTGTCATTTAGCAACGGATTTGCAAATTTAACAATTAAACACTTTTTGTATGTAGTTGTTGCTTTATAGAACATTTAGTATAGGATAATTAATTAATTATAACACTCATTTATAGATTTATTTGCTTTAATTTATATTTGTATATCTTTCTATTTGAATAATAATTTAAATTTTTTATTTTTTTGAAAAATTTTGTATTTTACTACATCCTTGTTTTGTACATAAATTGTTGTAAATATTGTACATTTAACATTTTTAATTAATTACTCATTTTCTAATCACTGTCATACACAATTACAAATTTGTTAATTAGTAATATAAAAAAGACTAATTATACAATAAAACGTGCTTTTTGTGGAGACCTTTATAAAAGAACTAGAATTAGAACTGAACAAGAACTGAATTACAACTGAACTAGAACTGAATTACAACTGAACTAGAACTGAACTAGAACTGAACTAGAACTAAACTAGAACTGAACTAGAACTGAACTAGAACTGAACTAGAACTGAACTAGAACTGAACTAGAACTGAACTAGAACTGAACTAGAACTGAACTAGAACTGAACTAGAACTGAACTAGAACTGAACTAGAACTGAACTAGAACTGAACTAGAACTGAACTAGAACTGAACTAGAACTGAACTAGAACTGAACTAGAACTGAACTAGAACTGAACTAGAACTGAACTAGAACTGAACTAGAACTGAACTAGAACTGAACTAGAACTGAACTAGAACTGAACTAGAACTGAACTAGAACTGAACTAGAACTGAACTAGAACTGAACTAGAACTGAACTAGAACTGAACTAGAACTGAACTAGAACTGAACTAGAACTGAACTAGAACTGAACTAGAACTGAACTAGAACTGAACTAGAACTGAACTAGAACTGAACTAGAACTGAACTAGAACTGAACTAGAACTGAACTAGAACTGAACTAGAACTGAACTAGAACTGAACTAGAACTGAACTAGAACTGAACTAGAACTGAACTAGAACTGAACTAGAACTGAACTAGAACTGAACTAGAACTGAACTAGAACTGAACTAGAACAGAACTAGAACTGAACTAGAACCGAACTAGAGCTGAACTAGAACTGAAGTAGAACTTAAGCCACTTAAATACAATAGCGGTTTCACTAATGAAAATCTTGTTCATAAAACTAGAATTGAAAATTATTCAACAATTTCTGACTAAAATACTACTAAATTATTATATTACACTTTTAACATTTTACATCTCATTAACAACTTGTCTAATGTATCTAATACGAAAATGAAAATTTCGAAACTTGACAAAGGAATTTTTCTTTAGCGAAAACAATTTAAAACTTGTATAAATATGTATATACACAAACACACCTGTATAAAACAAGAAAACAATTATAATTCCAACACCAACCACTACTTTTACTACAACATTTACACTTGTATTTTAAAAATCAAATATTTTGATTTCATTTTGTAAATTTTCTTTAATTTTTCTATATTCATTTTTGTAATTACTTTCACACAAATAATTTAAGTTTTTTTTTTCTGTTTATTTATTATGTTTTTTGTATAATTTTGTGAACTAAATGATGTCAAAATTCCCAACTCAAATATCATACGCGATTTTTTGTTTACAGGGAACTACCTGATGAGTACAGAGTTCGAGTCCGTGTTAACTCGTAAGATGAAAAAAAGTTTAACATAATTAAGAACATTTTTCTAACTGTCTATCTAAAACCAAAAAATATATAAAAAGTATACAATTATCTGTATAACTCTTTCTCTACATAACTTACTTACTATATATAATATAACTACATAAGAAACTATATAATATTTATATATAAACGTAATTATTTACTATTTTTCTCATATATAAATATTTAGCTAATTCTTTTTTCCTTGTTTTTGAATTTTACATTTAATTTGTTTTTATTTTTTACTACAATTTTCATTTATTTTTGATTTGAATGTTAACAACTCTAAGTAACCAGAGAATTTCTAGATAAATTAAAGATTTTAGCAGAGTAGACAGAGCGCCTTAAGCGTAATTTTTAATTAAGTCTCTTGTAAATTTCATTATTCAAAAAGTAACGTTTTCTTAATATATTTTTTCTCCTAAATTCTCTGTTGAAAAAAATGTTTAGCGAAGAAATGTTGTAGTAACAAAAATACGTACACTTTATATACATTTTTTCTCCTCACTTTCAATAATTTCTGAATGTCGTTATTTTTTCAAAAAAAAATTATCTAGCACTTTTTTACCAGACTATAACTATTTTTTCCACTTCATGTTAAAACATTTTTATTGTGTGTAAAAAATTTTTTTTTTTAATTTTTTTTAATTTAACGAAAATTTTATAATTTTTCTTTTCATTTTACAATTGTAGCTATAGATATCATAAATTTTATTCGCTGTCTCAAGAGTAGTCTTTGTTTTTTTATATTTTTTCCATTTTAAATCAAAAAAATAATAAAATTCGAAATATTTCATTGATGTTGTGTTGTATTTACCACTCAAAAGTATTTGTAGTTTAATGTTTAGTTTCCTTTATGTTGTATTATTTTATTAAATTTATGTTTTTGTTATTTAATTTATAAAAAACTGCCTTTAAATAACTAACATTTTATTTAATTAACATTTACTAAAAGCATAACACTGTTTGCGGATATATCCTCGTATTCATAAAGATATCAATCGTTTATTTATAGTTTATTAAGCACTTTTTCCGTAAAAAAATTCTTTAATAAATCATCAATAACTTTATGAAGTGTTTATGAATACGGGGAATAGAGTTTTATTTTCCTTTTTTTACACTCACACACATTCAATATATGTATACGGGTTAACAAATACATTCACTTTTAAGCACTTCACTCTTCCTCTCTTTTATACAAACACCTTTTCCCGACTACAATGTCTTGAAAAAATTCAATAATATAATCACTGTACTTGTATAGAATAGTACTTCTTATTTTTAGAAAACAGGTTCTTATACTTGGCGAAATATTCCTCATAAATTGAGCTAGAACTGAACTAGAACAGAACTAGAACAGAACTAGAACAGAACTAGAACAGAACTAGAACAGAACTAGAACAGAACTAGAACAGAACTAGAACAGAACTAGAACAGAACTAGAACAGAACTAGAACAGAACTAGAACAGAACTAGAACAGAACTAGAACAGAACTAGAACAGAACTAGAACAGAACTAGAACAGAACTAGAACAGAACTAGAACAGAACTAGAACAGAACTAGAACAGAACTTGAACAGAACTAGAACAGAACTAGAACAGAACTAGAACAGAACTAGAACAGAACTAGAACAGAACTAGAACAGAACTAGAACAGAACTAGAACTGAACTAGAACTGAACTAGAATTGAACTAGAACTGAACTAGAACTGAACTAGAACTGAACTAGAACAGAACTAGAACAGAACTAGAACAGAACTAGAACAGAACTAGAACAGAACTAGAACAGAACTAGAACAGAACTAGAACAGAACTAGAACAGAACTAGAACAGACAGAACTAGAACAGAACTAGAACAGAACTAGAACAGAACTAGAACAGAACTAGAACAGAACTAGAACAGAACTAGAACAGAACTAGAACAGAACTAGAACAGAACTAGAACAGAACTAGAACAGAACTAGAACAGAACTAGAACAGAACTAGAACAGAACTAGAACAGAACTAGAACAGAACTAGAACAGAACTAGAACAGAACTAGAACAGAACTAGAACAGAACTAGAACAGAACTAGAACAGAACTAGAACAGAACTAGAACAGAACTAGAACAGAACTAGAACAGAACTAGAACAGAACTAGAACAGAACTAGAACAGAACTAGAACAGAACTAGAACAGAACTAGAACAGAACTAGAACAGAACTAGAACAGAACTAGAACAGAACTAGAACAGAACAGAACTAGAACAGAACTAGAACTGAACTAGAACTGAACTAGAACTGAACTAGAAGAAGAACTGAACTCAAGTTGAAGCCTTTAGCAAAATTTTCGCCAAGTGTATATTTTGTACTATTTCATCCCTATTACTATTATATTAGAGACACAAGAAAATAAACATGAAAACATTCCTCATTTTTAGTATTTTGTCATTAAAAGTAGAAGAAATAAATACATAGATTCATAAAATTTCACATTTAGTATGATATTCATTATGTTTAAGCTTTAAAAACAAAACAACTGAAGATATTTCTGAGCAGATCATCTTGCAGTTCCCTGTTATTGTAAATAGTTCCCAAAATATATAATTTAGCATTTCAGTTCTTTTATTTTTTTTATAATTATGATTTGATATTTTTAGTAAATTACACGATTTACACGACTTTTTATTTAAATAGAAAACATTTACACTTAAACACAAACTATTAAGTGCAATTTAGTTGTTTATTATTTATTTAAAATATAAATTATTTTATTTTTGTACATAATTGTTTTAATACTCTTAATTAATATATAGTTTAGTGTTATGACCTCATAAGTTTAAAAGATTTTAAGAAAGAAGCTATTCAGTTTTGCTTATCGAATTTTTTTATTCCTACAGACAATTTCATCAATTTACCTTGGGCAGGTATTAAAATGTATTCAATTCAAGAGTTAGACTTAAAAGGCACTTAAAGGACAAATTTTTAAAGGGTTTTATGAAATTCAAAAAAAAAATCATTTCCCCCAGACACCCCCAATTAGTTTGAAAAATCTTGTAGTTTTATAAATACCACAGTTTTTGATAGTCTCGGAGTTTCGTCAATCAATCAATGAAATCAAATCACTTGTCTCTACTACTTTATCATTAACTCTTAGTTTGTGTCTCGCTCTTTGCTCTTAACTCTCACTATTGTCTATTTTCTTATTTCCCTTTATTTCACAAGTGTGTAATTCATGTGTATGTGTGTGCATTTTGCATAAACGTTTTTCCCCCACCCAATCTTTCGAATCTCAAAGTCAAATTTGTTTTTTTTTTTTTGTAATCCATTAGTCCTATTTTCTTTTTTGATGTGTGAAATTCCTTTAGTTATTTTTCAAAGGACAACTAATATTTTCTAATAATAATAATACAAAAGATCTATTATTTTAATTAATTAATATCTAAGCAAATCAAATTTTATAATAAATTGGTTTCCATTCATTACTCATGGTAATTTTCTATCATTCTCTTCTACCCACTACACTTCTATACACTAAAATAAAAATAAAAAACACTTAACAACACTATACTATATACTACGCCCCCAAATGCACACCCACCAACATACAAATTACACCTAAAAAACATTATTAAAATCTACCAACCAACGCCACTACCACAATATAGTGTTTCCTACTACTACGAATTCTCCAAGGAACAGGATTATATATGCTCGATGCCAGAAGATTCTGGCATGCATATGTGTTCAAATCTACCGCCATATCGAAATGGACCCATGGTATGTACAGGTAAGTCATTGTTTCAAAATTGTGGATTTTATTTGGATCATATTGGTGACAAAATATTTTTAAACTATTTTGTACCTTCCGTAGAAGCGGCCATACCCAACTCTAACAATTTACCAACAAATACTTCGTGTGTAGATTGGAACATTTACTATTCGGTTTGTAGGCAAACAGGACAGAATCCATTTCAGGGAACCATATCGTTTGATAATATAGGTATGGCTTGGGTAGCCATTTTTTTGGTAAGTACAAAGAATAAAAGAAAATTATTATTTGATTTACAACTAAGTTAAATTGCAAAGAAATGGACAAAGAACAGCGTTAAAAGTAAAGTAGATTTGAAGTGGAACCAGAACTGAAAAATAACTGAATGAGAGCTGAACTAAAACTGAACTAGAACTGAAATAGAACTGAACTAGAGCTGAACTAAAACTGAACTAGAACTGAAATAGAACTAACTAGAATTAACTAGAACTGCAAAATAACTGAAGGAGAACTGAACTAGAACTGTAATAGAACTGAACTAGAACTGACTAGAACTAGAACTGAACTAGAACTGAACTAGAACTGAACTAGAACTGAACTAGAACTGAACTAGAACTGAACTAGAACTGAACTACTAGAACTGAACTAGAACTGAACTAGAACTGAACTAGAACTGAACTAGAACTGAACTAGAACTGAACTAGAACTGAACTAGAACTGAACTAGAACTGAACTAGAACTGAACTAGAACTGAACTAGAACTGAACTAGAACTGAACTAGAACTGAACTAGAACTGAACTAGAACTAAACTACAACTGAACTAGAACTGAACTAGAACTGAACTAGAACTGAACTAGAACTAAACTAGAACTGAACTAGAACTGAACTAGAACTGAACTAGAACTAAACTAGAACTAATCTTGAACCCAAAACTATTGATTGAAAACACATCCAATCAAATATTCTGAGAGTTTCATTTCAATACATCCCTTTAATTAAAACACCACTATGTATCAAATAAATTACTAATAGATCATAGAAATAAAAAAATATGTTAAAGAGTACAACTCTAATGCAAACATCAAACAAAAAAGGAAAACATTTTACAAACTTTGGTTTTTGGAGTGTTTGCTAAATAAGCTTAAGTAGATGGATTTGGCCAATAATGCTTAACCACCAACAGAGAGTTTGTTAACAACAAAGTTTTCCTTTACGTTACAATTTTATTTCAACCACATGCATAGAACCTCATAGAGAGAATGAGAGAGTGAAAAGACTTGAAACTACTTACACATTCAAAATATATTTACATACAAATGTTTGCTTTTTTTACAATCAACTTTTCAACACAGACAGTTTGGCAAACAGGAACTAAAACTGGCACCCCACTCGTTTAGGTTTTAAGAAAGAACATTTTAAATTCAAGTAAAAGTAACTTGTGATGTGTTTTTTGTTTTTTTTTTTAATTTTCTCTAAAGGTTATATCATTGGAAGGCTGGACGGATATTATGTACTATGTACAGGATGCTCATAGTTTTTGGGATTGGATCTATTTTGTTTTACTAATAGTGGTAAGTATTTCCTTTTCCTGGTTACCTTCCAATTTTCAAATGTATGCTAATTTCATTTAACCCAAATGGTATGTTATTTTATGCTCGAGAAAAAATTTATACAAATTACTTCATTTTCATTAGAGTTATTGTTGTTTATTCTAATGGGTTTTCACAAGAAACGCAATAAAAGAAAATCTGCATAAGAAATAAAAAGGGATGACTTGTTGATTTTTTTTGTATATTTTTTCTTCGTTTTTTTTTCTTTTTCAGTTGCTTAAAGACATTTACGAAATAAAATAAAAGTGTATACGAGAAAAAAATATACCTTTTGAATTCAAATTCTATTATACTTATTCATGAAGTTATGAATGATAAAATTTGAGAAAAAGAGAGAAAATTGTATAAAAAATTGTTTAAAGAAAATAACAGAGCAAAAGTTTCAGTGATAAATTTAAATAATATATACAAGAAATGTATGCTAGCATACCTAAACAAACTAAGTAAAACACACTTGTTGGTTAAACAGTAAGACCTCTAATAACACGATGTTTAAAGGAAAGTTTTAAAAAAAGTCATTTATAACTATTTTGTATAGTTGAAGATAAATAAAAAATGTATACAAACTTTAACTTGAAAAGCTTGTTATAAAAGGAACTACTGTTGAAATATGTTTGTTTGTTAAGTTTCCCTAAATACATTTAAAATCCCCTTCTTACTGTCAGTTTTGGATGGTAAAACCTTATAAAAAGTTTTCGCTAAAGTTACGCTCTAGAGTGGCTGGCAAAAACACCAACAAAACTGTATTTTGTTTGAAAAGCCAACACAGGCACGTTTCTTGCTACAAACATGAGACTTGAACGCGCTCTGCTAAAGTGTTGTAAAGTTCATATGTGGCTGTTATACACACCCCCAGAACTTAAAAAATAAATGAAAAAGTTAAACAATTTGTGTAAACTTAAGCAGCTCAACTAAAACTATAGTAATTGAAACAAGCGATTGGAAATTTTCTAAAATAACAAAAAAAAAACCCAAAACTTATTAACAAATTATCAGCAAATTTTTAATGTTCTCATTTCTTAATTTTTTAGATTGGCTCATTTTTCATGATCAACTTGTGTTTGGTAGTCATTGCCACCCAGTTCAGTGAGACCAAGAAACGTGAAATGGAGCGTATGCGTCAAGAACGCGCTCGTTACACTTCCACCTCTACACTGGCCTCCAGCACCAATAACTCGGAACCGGCCACCTGTTATGCGGAAATTGTTAAATATATTGCTCATCTTTGGCGACGCTTCAAACGACGAATGTTAAAGAAGTACAGATTATATAAGTATGCTGGATGTAGTTTCAATTTTATTTTCAGTTTTTTATTACTTTTTTTAGTTTCACCCTGATTTTCTAAAATAAAAATTAATTTATCCTGGACTTCATAACCAACAAAAAACAAACAAAATAGCACTTGTTCAATAAACATGCATAAAATTACATGAGTTTTACATTTACCAAGAAAAAAAAACGTATATTGTTAACAGTATTTGTAGACAATTGAAAAATTTCCTTTTTATATAAAAAAAATTATTAAAAAATTCCATTTGCGTAATTTGGCCATTTTTCAGTATGTGATTTTGTATATAAAACAAAATTTGCAAGATTTGTATAATAATACAAGCTAAAGAAAACTGTTTTCTTTTTGGGATTAATTTTCGTCTAAGTAAAAAAAAAATCTCTTTCTTCCTAAATGCTGCTTTTTTGCAGTTATTGCAATTATTTCTTCTTCCCAAAGCTTTGTCTTTAATGCCCTAAAATTGCATTATTTTTGACCTTTTTATGAAATTTTGCATTTTTGCAGATTAAATTAACATTACATTTGCCTCTAATAAAAAGGTTTATATTTAAAGAATAACCTTTATGAATGAAAATTTACCCTTTTTGCATAAAATGTTGCCCTTAAATTGCATTATTTTTTCACCTTTTTACGAAAAGTTACTTCGTTGAAACTTTAATGTTGCCTTTTTGCCAATTAAATTAATAATACATTTGCCATTTTAATGTATATGAAGATTATCCCTTTTTGTAATTTAAAAAAAAGGCAAAATTTTCGTTTCCTTTAATAAATTTTGCATTTTTGCCCTTAAATTGCATTATTTTTTGTCTTTTTAAAATAAACCCCATATTTGAAATAGTTCTTTCACACATAATTATATATAATTGGGAAACATTTTTTTCAATAAATGTTGCATTTTTGCCCTTAAATTGCATTATTTTTTCACCTTTTTACGAAAAGTTACTTCTTTGGAACTTTAATGTTGCCTTTTTGCCAATTAAATTAACAATACATTTGTCATTTTAATGTATAATCTTTATATATATTATATTTTCCTTTCCTATATTTATATATATATTTTATATATATATATATATATATATATATATATATTTATATATATATTTTCCTTTCCTTTAGTAAATTATGCATTTTTGCTCTTAAATTGCATTATTTTTGCTTTTTTACAAGAAAACACTTTTATGCATAGGTTCTTTTATGCATAAGTATATAAATGGGAAACATTTTTCTTCAATAAATGTTGCATTTTTGACCTAAAATTGCATTTTTTTTACATTTTACAAGAAAACTCTTATTTGAAAACTTAAATGTTGGCTTTTTGCCCTAAAATTGCGGGGCAATATTAGATTAATATAAGTTATTGTCAAAAAGTTATTGAGTTATTGTCAAAAAAGTGCAAATTATTTTCAATAAAACTTAAATTTTTGCCCTTAAATTGCATTTTTTATGCCCTTTAATAAAATTATTATTAAACTATTAAAGAAGGAAGAAATTAAAATGTTCCTAAATAACTACAGGAAATCCAAGTTAAATGTTTAAACATTTTTCCGAAAACGATTTTCCAAAAGAAAACAGTTTTAATTTAGCAGTTATTAAACCACCACATTAAACTTGCTGTAGGTGTAAAATTTTCCAAAAAAAAAAAAATGGCAAAACAAAAAACTAATCTCATGTATCATTCAAATAAAACTAATAAACTAATTTTCAATATCTTCACATTACTAATTGTTAATATATATATATAACTCTATGGTTCTATTTGTATCCCAAACTTGAAGCAACTGTATATAGAAATTCCTGTAGAGCTAAAGCAAAATATATATAACAAATCCAAAATCCATTTACTGTTTTAAAACTGTATGCGGCTGGCTTTAAACGGACCCTTGGATACGAACATAATTTAATTTTTTTTTTTTTGTAAATTACTTTAGCAACATAAACCTGAGTTCAAAAAAAACCAAAATAAAATTTAAAAAGAAAACAAATAAGTACTTGTTTATTAGAGCTAATTTAAAAAATATAAAAAAATCGAATACAAAAATGAATGTTTGAATAAAATAAAATCATTATTAGTTGAAAAAATTCAGTCAGTCAAATATCAGTCAGTCAATGTTCAATGAATTAGTTGCAACCATTTTTAACAAAAATTTTGGTTTGGTTATTTTAAAAGTTTTGGTTTTTTAAAGAATTTTTTTTGTTTTGAATTTTTATGATTTCTATGCATGCCTTTTGCTGAATTTTCTCTACTATTCTAATCTATAATTAGAGTTTAGTTTAGAATTTGCATTTGGCATTTTATACATCATAATATTTTTCATATTTGTTATAACAACAAATCATTTTTTCATATTCTTTCGATAGTAAGCAAATGTAAGATTGAGAATTTCAAAATTTGTCTTTAATAGTTGGAAGAAAATATCCTAAATTTGTAAGAAAATTACATTTGCTTAAGCTTTCACCATTTATCTCACTCTATACTCAACATATGAACGTTTCTACAAATAGTTAAAAAAATCATTAAAACCTTTACAAAATTTGAAAAATATTCAAACTGAATTTGAAGTTTTTTCGTTATTTGGGGAGAGGCCATATTAAAAGTTTCATGAAAAAAGGGAGTTAGGGTAATGAATTTGTTTAAAAATTACTAATAATCTTTGCAGTATATATAAGACTGCCTAAAAATATGCTAAATTTCAGTTTAAAATGTAAACAAAGGAATAAAAAATTCTTGGAATATTCTTGAAAATTATTGAAATTTATATTACTGAACTTTTGAAACAACTTTTGCTATCTTGACACCCTATTCTCTTTTGAAACTTCCTAATAAAATATCTTTCACCCTTGCAAATTGGCTAATAAACATGAAACATCATGCATATTCATTAGCTAGTTATTGTTAGGTAAATCAAAAGAAAACAATTCTAGAAAAAATATTAAAACTAAACTTATTCCAAACTCCAATCTTTGTTGTTTACTAAATCAACTTAATGTAATAATAATCTTGCTAAATTTTTGCCCAAACAAAAACTTACACAATTTTGTTTTGATTTCCATGTACGATTCATCCTCCTCATCCTTTCCTAACGCCAAGGTACCAACAAAAACAACGCAAAGAAGGTTTATTACCTAATGCTGATAATTTGACATTTTCACCGTCACGCATTAAAAGTCATCATCCTAAATGTCCCAAGTATGCCAGCAATCGTAAGCCCTCCAGTATACAAGATCAAATGATCACGGTAATGGTGCCGCTTAATTCCAATAATAATATCAGTGCCAGTGGTAATAATAACAATCATACACATGTTCAACAACATCAGCAAACACAGCAGCAGAATCAACAACAATTGGGAGCACAACAACAACATTCTACTACACAAACTCCCAGCGGTATGGTGTCCTTAATAAATGGTCTACATAATGGCAATAACAGTCATATTAACACACAAACAGCACAATCACATCAGCATCATTCCTCCTCCGAAAACTCTGAACAATCATTAGAAAATGTGGGTGGAACAGTTGCGACACGCAATAGCAATTATAAAAAGATCTCCAATCAATTAAAACCGGAAGCGGATAACAAGCAACAACAGAAAACTATACTTTTGAAATTTCCCCAAAATCTTATGGAAACCGATCAGTTAATTGTAAGTTGTAATATAGAAATTATTGCTAAATGACAAAAACTTAAGCACTAAACATACTTGAACAAATTGGTAGAACAATTAAAAACTTTTAAACACTCACACACACACCTTACACACATTAATATGTAAATTACTTATTTAATATTATGGCTAAATCTAAGAAAATCCTTTACAGACTCCTAAAGAGTCTAGCAAAATTTATAATTCAGCTTTAACACCACTTATATCATTAAAACTTAACACACAGATTCAACTACTACTTGATTCTGAAAAAAAATCAAATATAATTGATAACGAATCAATCAATTTATTAAAAACTCATCTAATGGCACGATTTCTTTATATACTCTTGTGCATTTAGAGAGAGAGAGAGTTATATAAAGAGAACGTTTATGTCACAAAAAAAACGTTGTTAAACTGCTATTTAAAATACAAATTGTTTCTTTTATTTTACCCACCAAATCACCTATAACTAACTACTAAACTACCACGTTCAAATTCACCAAATTTTGAAATTGTTGTGGCAAATTTTATAGCTCCAGCTGGGAACTCTAGGCAAGGTATTAATTAACTAAATGCAGCACCTTTAAAATCAAAAAAAAAATCCTTATGTAAACTATATTTATACAAATACTTATGCAATTTAACTTAAACATTACTTTATTTACTTAATATTTGAAAATATTTTTAAAAGTCGTTAAAACCTCCCGGCCAATTGTAAATAAATGAAAAATTCATTTCTTCATTTATAAAAGAATGCTTCCTCTTCCAGCTTATTATGTATAAATTTATATAGAAACCACCTTATTTTGTTCATACTTATGTATTAAACCATAAAATTCAGTGTGTAAAGATCATTTTTCTACTATTCATGGAACATTTTACTTTTTATAGACACATCCCTGTACATCCGGCTTTTTAAGTCCCCCCACATCAGCCAGTCGCCGACCTTCTGTCATGTTCAATGAATACGTTTTATTGCACACGCCACCGGCTCTCAAGGAACCGCAATCAAGTGTTGAGAAAACGGTATGTTCGTCGGAAAAGATGACACAGGCCGGCGATGGCAGCATCTGGCAAGTAAGTTAAATCGGGGGACTTTAAAACTACAGCACTGTTCTTTATTCATATGAGTATTTTCTTTTTATTTCTTTTTACTTTAACTTTAGGTAAATCTACCACAGACTCTGGCCAGCATTACAAATCCCTATGCGGAATGTTCAGATCTCGGTATACACGACGCCATGACTTGTCAAGAGCTTTTAGCATTTTCTGTGGCATTTTCAGCGGCCCTACCCACGGGTCAAAGTACACTGGAATCGTTTTACTCCTCCTTGGCACGGTGTGATCCCCATACAGCCGAGGCTATTAGAAATCAACAGAATATAGAAAACTCCAACAACCTGGCCTTGCAGCAACACAATCAGCTACAGCAACAGCAGCAATTGCAGCAGCAAAAGCATTTCTCGGAACAAGGTAAAAAACCTTTCGATGCTCTTAACTCAAATGGTGGCGGTGCAGTTTGTGGTAACGCACCCCCAGCCAGTACCGGTAATTGTATGGAGGACTATTCTTGCTGCTATGACCTGTATCAAAATGCTCTTTCACCACTGGATGACAAAAGAAAAAAACGCTCCCGTCTAATGAAAATCATTATTGCCGCCTATCGCTGCATAATGCGTGTATGCGGCACTGGCAGGCGTTATATTAAACGTTTAGTGGAGCATAAATACTTCCAGCAGGGCATTTTGCTGGCCATACTCATTAATACTCTATCCATGGGCATAGAATATCACAAACAACCCGAAGAGTTAACTGTCATAGTGGAGACCAGCAATATTGTTTTCTCTGCCATATTTGCGGTGGAAATGTTACTAAAAGTGGTGGCTGAAGGACCATTTCGTTATATAGCCAATGGTTTCAATGTATTCGATGGTGTTATAGTCATTTTAAGGTGAGTTAAAAAATGATTTTTAAGGTAATCTCAATAATTTTGAATTGAAATATAATAACAATTTAAGTGCCATTGAAATCTGTCAACAATTCGCCGGCAATGGCACAGGAGGTGGCGGTGGCTCCGGTCTATCGGTTTTACGCACATTTCGTTTATTGCGTATTTTGAAATTGGTACGTTTTATGCCCAACTTGAGACGTCAATTATTTGTCATGCTGCGCACCATGGACAATGTGGCCGTATTCTTTTCCCTGCTTGTGCTTTTCATATTCATTTTTAGGTAAGTTTTAGCCAAGTAATCTCAAAGAAAAGAAAACAATAATAACAAAACACCATACAAAATCCAAATATATAATAAATCCACCTGCTGTGTTAAGGTTCAGTTTTTAAATCGTCTCCTCTTCATTTAATCCTACTAATAACAATTCAATTTTCAAAAACAGAAACATTACACATTTTGTTTATTTCCAAAGGACATCAACAATACATTTGAGAATGCGTGTAAGCATTTGAAAAAACATTTTGCATAACTTCATAAATAACTACTTTTTCATTTAATAGGAAGAAAAACTAAGTTTTAAATTGTTTAAAGTCCTGTGAAACGTTGTAACCTGTAATTGTTAGTAACAACTTGGTGTAGAATTCCCAATTTCCCGTTAACCAAAACTCCAATTGAAATGTAGTTAGATTAAGAGCAAATTCCTTTAGAAATGCTTCCTAAAATATATTAGGAGGAGTGTTAGTAGGATAATTCACATCTCATTTGTGATTTGTTTAACATACATCTGTGATTACATTACAATATCATTGATTCCCTAATAACTAAATCCCCACCTTTCTCTCTCTCTTTCTTTAGTTTTGTAACATTTTGTCTCTAAGTACACTGTTTAACTGTCTGGCTGTTTATCTCTCTTGTTTTATTTTTACTTTTTCATAAATAATTATTTAAAGAGTATATTTGACCAAAAGTGTTTATCGCAAACACAATTAGTTTATAGTAGTTAGCAATTTTAAAGTTTTGCTCCTTTTTCCTCACCTTCAGTAAAGCTGCAATTTGCTCTTCTCTAAGTTCTACACAAACAAATTTTGTCGCCTTTCTCTCTCTGTGTCTCTCTCGCTATCTTTGTGTTAATTTTTCCTTTTAACATTGTCACTCTCTTAAACACTGCTGTTAAAACTACATTACAACAATATCACACACACACACACACAATTATTACTCACTTTTAATTTAAGTTTCAGCTTTTCACATTCAATACTCGTAAATTTCTCTTTAGCTGTTGTCTCTCACACTGTTATTTAATACATATTTTTCATTACACTTTTAAACAAATTCAAAAAAATTTATTTCCACTTCACCTTCTTTTTGTAATAAAACTTCCTTGAAGCGATGACAAAATATTTCAATTTAAAACATCACTTTACAACCAACCACCTTTATCACTTTCTTTATAAAATACAACTCTGCTGCTATTTCATTTTAAATTCAATTTAATACAGTTCAATTTCGTAACGTTCAAATTCAATTTCGTTCAGTTCAGTTCAAATCATTCATTATTTGATTTCATTTTTATAAATAAAAATTACTAATTAATTGTGTGTATTTAGTTTTAGATTATAGCGTTCTACTAAAAATGAAATTTAAATTATATTAATATAAAAAATCAAAATTATCAAAATTTAAATGAAATTTGTCTATTTTTTTGCGAAATTAATTTGTAGACCTTACATGAGATCTTCCTTGATTGATTTGTATCGATAACAAATATATTTATTATACATACATCTTAACATTTTACTATTTAGTTAATAAAGATAATAATTAATTTTAAACTTAATTATTATTTAGTTTAGATTCATTGTTGCCTCTTAACAGTAATTAAAGTAGTTAGTTATTAAATTCTAAATCATAAAATTCATTTAAAAAACAGTAATTTGTAATAATACTATTACTTAACAACTATTTACTGCTATTTAAACTGTTACTACTATACTACTACTATTCTACTGCTAATACTTTTTACAAATTGGAAAAAAATTGTTGCTATTTTTTTATAATTAAAAAAAAAGAAATATTAAGTAATTTTAAATTAAATATTGACAAAAAATATAATTCTCTTCAATATTACAACTTAAGCTTCAAATTTTAAATCAAAGTCTTGATTAATATTTTTGTTTCATATTTTTTAAAGCTGTACTTGAGTTTGAAACTTAAAATTTATATTTTTATTTTAAATTAAAAAAATATATATTTACTAAAGTTTTGTAAGACAGTCCCGGACAGTCCCCATGGTAATGAGTTTTCATTACTCTCTAAATAACATTAAATAGCTGAATAATAACTTCCTGAAATCATTAATATTTTACATTGATCGGAAACAATTATTGAAAACTATTAAGTATTTAAAACCTGATCAGAAAGAAAGCTTTTTTAAAACTTTTCCAGTAATAAACATAGATTAAAGCGAATTTTCTAAAAAGTCTCTAAAGTTTTTTAGTAGAAAGCTTTTTGTCATAAGAAAGCTTAGTTGTAATAAGCTTTTTTGGAAATACATAGCATTTTTGTACGAAGCTTTTATCGTAATGTGCGTTTTTGTAATACATATTCGTGCGAAGTTTTTCTTTGAAAAGCTTAGTTACAAAATGTCGGAAAGCTTTTTCAAAAATCTTCCAGTACAAAGATTAATGCAAAGTTTCTAAGCAGTCTTCAAAGTTTTTTATTAGAAAGATTTTTCTCTGGAGAAAGGTTTGTTGTATTAAGCTTTTTATGGTTATATGAAACTTTTATCATAATGTGAAGCTTTTATCATAATGTGCATTTTTCTACTAAACGTGTACTATGTTTTTCTTTGAAAAGTTTTGTTATAAAATGTTCATCTGCGATAAGCTTTTTCATTGAAAGCTTTCATGTATGATTAAACCATAATAAGCTTCTTCTACAATATAAAATCAAAAAGGTATTTTAAAATATGTTTTATAGAAAGCTTTCATATGAATGCTTAAACCATATCAAGCTTCTTCTACAATATAAAAAAAAAAAGCTATTTTAAAATATATCTAATGGAAAGCTTCTCATAACAAGGTATTCTTTAAAAACTTTCTCCTTAAGTGCTTTTTTTGTAAAAAAGTTTTTTCAGAAAAGCTTTTTTTAAACAGACATTCCGCAAAAGTTTATTTGTAATAAACTATTTTGAAAAAGTTTTTTAAAAAAAGTTCGGCTGAAAAAAACTTTTTTGTAAGAGCCATTGCCCAAAAAGCTTTGTTTGTAGAAAGCTTTTTTCATAAAATTATGTTTTCAAATAGCTTTTCCAGTAAAGCTTTTATAAAAAGCTTTGTTTATATAAAGCTTTTCTAAAAAACTTTGCTTATATAAAGCTTTTATAAAAAGCCTTGTTTGTATAAAGCTTTTTTAGAAAAGCTCTTATTAGAAGCTTTTTTATATAATACTTTTTAAAAAAGCTCTTATGAAAAACTTTTTTTATATAAAGCTTTTTAAGCCAAATAAATATATAGTTTAAACAAAAACAGAAAGTTATTTAAATTTAAAAATTTGCTTTAATTATCTATAGACGCAGTGGGACCCAGTTAAAGATGATTTTTTTTAAATTTTTCTTTTGATTTTTAGAGCATTTCTTTATTTTACTTTCTCTTAACAAAAAAATTCTCTCTGATATTAATAGCATATTTTTCTTATTCTTCTTCTATGACTTCTCTTTCCATTATAAATTTTTCTACTCTATTGTCTAATCTATTTTTATCTCATCTACTTTATAATACTATTACTTCTTAACTAAAACAAAACTAAATATCATTTTAAATTAAAAACATTAATTTAACAAAACTAAAACCTAAATAAAAATAATTTTTTTGTTAAAAAAAAATTAATCAATCAATTAAATTTTTCTTTAAATAAAAATATTTAAAACTATTTATTTTTAATTGAAATCCCTTTAAAAAATATATAAACCTATTTTAATGCTAATAAATTATGTGTTTAATGATTTTCATTTTCTCAATTTTAAATTAATTATTTCATTAAATGAATGAATAATTGATTGATGAAACAAAATGATGAAATAATAAAAACAAATAAATTATGAACGTTGTAACGTGGTACTTTGATTGATCGATCGTATGATTGATCGAAATTTATTATAGTATACTTGGCATGAATCTATTCGGATGTAAATTCTGCGAAAAGGTGGGCGATGAGGTGGTATGCGATCGCAAGAATTTCGACAGTCTACTGTGGGCTCTCGTCACAGTATTTCAGGTAGATTTTAATATTATTTAAAAAAAAAAAAAAAAAAACATTGATATATTTATTATAAACTTTAATGTTAAATAAAATTAACAAATGAAAAAATAAGAAATAAAAATATAACTACAGAGTTTGTTTGTAATGTTTTATATAATTTTTTTTTGTTTTATAATTTTAACATAAATTTTAATTTATTTATGATTAAGATTTTTAGTTGTTGTTTTAAGTTGGCCTGTGATTTTTATTTTAATTTTAAAGCTTTTTAAGTGTTTTTTTGTTTGTTTTGTGTATTTGTTTAACTTTTTTCAAGTTTTAAAAATATTTTAATTTATTTGTTTGGTTTTTAATTTATTTGCTTGTTCTGCTGTTATAGACTTTAAGTTTTTAATTTGTGGTGTGTTCTGTGTAAAACAATTCAAATATAAATTTAAAAAAAAATTGTTTTAGGACACTGTACGTACACTTAGGTTAGGTTTTCAATTACTGTTAGTTTAGTGTAGTTGCCTTAGTAGTAAATTTGCAAGAGTAGCAACGTTTTAAAGTGCCATGTTGAAAAAAAATTAGTTATTTTTAGTTTTAAAATGTATGAAAAGAATATAGTGTGGCTTTTAAACAAAAAATGGACTTATAAATATTTTTATATAAAAGCAAGGGTAAGTATTAAGATTATTTATTTTAAGGCAATTAAAATAAGCATGTTTTTTTAACCTTAAAATCTAATATAAATATTTATTTAGCATAAATGTTTCATGTTTGCAAATTTGCACGTTCATTTGACACTGTAAATGTTGGCAATTAATGTAAATGTGTATTCAAATTCACTCATTTAAGAATTATATATTAAAAATTTAAACTCTCACGTAATCCCTTTAAAATTCTCTCTATCACTCTCTAACATTAACTCACTCTCATTACAATTCTCTTACTCTGTCTTGACATTTTCATTTGTAAAAATATCACTATTAACATAACTCTCTCTCTCTCTCTCTCTACCTCTTTCTCTTGTCATATAAATTTCATGATCTTGTATATCATTGATATTGTATATAAAATTGCAGAATATAGTTAAAATTCATTTAAACAAAAGTTCAAACAATTAAAACATTTTAATATAATATTAATTTATACGTATAATTAATAAGTAAACAAACCATATATCACAAATTTAGCAAAATATTAAGCAAAACTATTAATAAAAAGAAAGGATCTTAAACTCTTTTCTCTTTTAAAGTTTTGAAAATGTTTTAATTATTTTGCTAAAAGTCTGTATAAATAGTAACCCCCCCATCAAGCAACAGTTACAATAATGAACCTCCCTAATAATAATAAAAAAAATTAACAACCCACTTACTTTTGGCTACAAAAAAATTTATCAAAAACATAATTAACCACTAACTATACATTTTTTAACAAAACTTAATAGCAACAAATACAATAAAACTTTAGAAACAGTTATTTAAAGCTTTTATATGCAATTTGTTTTAAAACAATTAGCTAAACACAAGTTTTATTGTATTTTTTTAATAAATAAAACAATATATCAAACATTTGCCTAATTTTAGTTATTTATATTTTATGTTTTTTTTTTCTATTTCAAATTATAATTTTTAAAAAATATATTTCTTTTAATAAAAAAAAATAATGTATTCTAAACAATATTTAACGAAAAAAAAACAATATATCAAAACATATATCATTTTTTATTATCATATTGAAATACTACTACAACAATCAACTAAAAACTACTACCCTACTACTACTACCGAAACTGAATACTACTACCACTACTACTACAACACGCGTGTGTGTATGTGTAAAATATACCAAAAAAAATCCAATAAAAAATAAAAAAAAAAACATTCTATGTGATTGTGTGTATGTGTAAAATGTTGTATGTGTGTTTCATTAAAAACATACAACCTTACAGCATACTGGGCATGTATTTGTTCGGCGGTAAGTTTTGCAAATTTATGGATGAAACTGGACTCGAACGCGAATGTACGTGTCCCGAAATAATCAGCAAACATCCTCAGTGTGAATGTGATCGTAAGCACTTCAACAATATACTCTGGGCCACCGTAACCGTCTTTCAAGTAAGAGAAACTTAGTCATACTACTTACTACTACTCTCTTTGTAAACTCTTTTTTCTTATTCTCTTAAACATTATTAATTTCGTTAACAAAAAAAAAACAATTAAATTTATTATACAAAATTATGAAAAATAATCACATTTGTTTGTTACAAAAATTTTTATCTTCATAGACAAATTGTATTTCTTCTTGGTTTGTTTCTCTTAAGTTTTTAATTTTTTTTTAATTAATTTTTTGTTATAATGTTTATGTTTCAGTTTTTTAATTACACTAAGTGAAAAAAAAAATATTTATTAATAACCATTTAAAACATATATATAGTCATTTTGAAATATCATTACAAAATTAAAAACAAAACCCAAAAACACTTAGAAGATTTTGTTAATTAGTTTGTAGCTAAGATTTTATATGCCAAAACATTTATTATTGGCATTGTAGTAAAATTTTTCCATAAATAGTTGTTAATCATTTTAAAATTAATTTAAATATTTTAATTAACAAATTAAATTAGAAATAATTCTGCACTTAGTAGCAAAAGTTAGTAATACGAATTAAAAAGATCTTAGTAAAAATAATTGATTTTAAAAAATTTCTCTTAAAGAGAATGTTTGTGATATGGAAGTGATCTTTTGTCGCGTCCTGCTTAAAAGCGAAAGTTTAAGAGAATTCAATCTTTTAAGCGAAAATTTGTGATATCAAAGTGATCTTTTGTCAATAGTTACAGTAGCGTCCTGCTTAAAAGCGAAAGTTTAAAAAGATCTTAGTCAAAGTAATTAATTTTAAGAGAATTCAATCTTTTAAGAGAATGTGATATCGAAGTGATCTTCTGACAACAGATAAAGTAACGTTCTGCTTAAAAGCGAGAGTCCTTTCGATATAATTGAAAACTTAACATTAGAAATATGTCCTAAGATTATACTTGATCGTCTAATAGACGCTCAAGCATTCGTCTTAGTCTTAATACCTAAGCGAGACTAAATGATTCCGTTAGATAAATAGATGAGCTTACGTAGGTGTATAACAAAAACATTATTCTTCCCATTTCGCGTGACTTCATTCTGAAAGTAACATATAGAAAAGTCAATATGTTCAATTTTTCATCAAACTATGTAATACCCAGTAAATTCAGATGCCATAATATCTGTCTACACAGAGGGAAAAAGAAATATACACGCCTGGTACCAAATTGACACCAAACAGTTTATAGTTTTTCAATACCATCTGTTGTCAAAGTATATACATACGTACGACAACACTATGTAAAGTTGACAACATTGCAACAATTTGTTGTCGAAATCTAAATTTTATACACATCCGTTGTCTAAATGTTAACAAACGTGGTAACATTTAGACAACGGATGTGTATAAAATTTTGAATTCGACAACGAATTGTTGCAATGTTGACAATGTTGCGTTGTCAACATTACACAGTGTTGTCATACGTATGTATATACTTTGACAACGGATGTTATTGAAAAATTATAAACTATTTGGTGTCAATTTGGTACCAGGCGTGTATATTTCTTTTGTCCACTGTGTAGATCTTGATAATGGATAGTTAAGGAGTGTTCTTACAACGTCCAAAAAAAGTTTCTTATCCAGTAAATTTATTAATACTATTTTAAAAACATTATTCGGATTCATATCCGATTGCTTTTCAAACATTTGCCGTATTCCTTTCCATTCCCAGACTGTGCAGTCGTCTGTAAAAGATTCATAGGGGCATCAAAGATAGTCCAGATGTGAACGTTTTAAGTTATCACGTACAAACTCCAAAGGTGAACAAGGTAATGAAAATAGTCCATACTTCAACACATACAAACTGAATTCTGTAAGTCTCAAATCCATAAGAAACGGTTCTATACAGAAGGGGAGAACTTCTTCATTCACCTTACAATGACACTTAAGACTGATATTACTTTCGTTGTAGAATTCCTAATTCGAAATATATCAAAATGAGGAAGATTTCTGAAATCTTCTTTATCTTACAGTCACCACTAAAGATTAGGTTTAGTTAGATTATCAGATATTCCCAATTGTCATTCGGAGAGTTTACCAAGATTTTCCGACTTCTTTTACTCAGAAAAGTGAACATCAAGATCTATGCACCCTTTTGGCTGGTACAATGGCACTAAAGACGGAGATTACTTTCGTTGTAGGAAATTGTACATCAAGATATATACTCCCTTTTGGCTGGTACGAAAGATATTCACCTTACAACTAAAGACGGAGATTACTTTTGTTGTAGAATTCCTAATCCGAAAGATATCAAAATGAGGAAAATTTATGAAACCTTCTTTATCTGATGATTAAGGTGTAGATTCCTCGCAGATAAAGTTAAATAATCAGCCATTCCCAATTTACATTCGGAGAGTTTACCTAGAATTTCCGACTTCTTTAACTCAGGAAAGTGAGCATCAAGATCTATACTCTCCTTAATCGCTCTAGCGCTTTTAAATATAAATCGAACTTAGTAGAGATGTGTAACTGAAACATATCCAGTATCATTTACAAGATAGATTAATATCTGCTTTTTATAAAAAACATGCACGATCATCGGTGGTGAATTTCGACTAGAAGATCAGAGTTCTGAAACTATCATATTCCACAAGTTTCCAACAAACATTCGACTATCATTTCTGATCAATTCGAATTGGTTTAAATATATATTTTTTACAGAAAGGATTATTAAAAAAAAACAATGCATTCATTGACAACACGTAATAATTTTATAAAAAAAAATTACACCCAAAAAAAATGCATGTAACAATAATTTTTCATTTGATATTTAAATAAAGAAAAAACAATCCACAAACACTGAAAACTTAAAATAACACCGCAATTTATGTATGTAAACATGGAGTGATTTTGTATATAAATCATATTAAACGTAATCGATTTTATAATACCATCATCTCTTAAAGCTCTTAAATCATCATTAAACATTTGCTGAAATCATCAATTAATTAAATAAAGATTTTTTCAATGCAGTTTCGAAACTAACAACTGAGCATATTTAATGCATGTTTTTTAATACAATTTTTCATACAAATTGTTAAGCTTTAAAAAAAAAACTTTTTTTCCTAATAACAAATTATAATCATAAATATTTATCTTAAGAATTCAAAGTATTCGTAATTAATTAATAAGTTCCATTAGGTAGTAATTTTTTTTTAATACAATAAGTGAAAAAAAAGCAATCAAGTTGGCACGTAATAAAGTTCTTCATTTTGTTAATTTTTATTTCTAATTTTTAAGAATAATACTTATTAATATAAAATTTTGTACATAAATGTTGTTTGTTCATAATTAAATAATTATGAAATACATATGAACTGGAATTTTGTTGTAACAAGTTCGCGTTCAAACTAGAGTTCTTCATATACTCGTAACGTCTTTTGAACAAATCACACCACGAATTAAATTCAATTTTAATTAAAATGTTTGGTAATCTTTTTCTACTAATTGTTTGAAGAAAAACATATTTTTTTTATTTAGTCAAGGATGTCACAGTTTTGGCTTTGCTTTGTTTTAATTTTGTTTTAAAATTTTTTATAAGTTTGGACTTTCCTTGACCTTGTAGGCTGTGTGCTGCTAATGCATTTTGAAAAAAATAACGTTTTTTAAATAAAATTAAAACAAAAATAACAGCAAATTGAATTTTCTTTAGTTGTTGAGTATTTTGTTTTTAATTTAAAATAAAATTAAATCTTTAGTTTCCTTAAATGTTTGTTTGTGTGTGTCTGTTTTTGTTTTAATTTAATTAAACTTAATCTATTGACAAAGAAACGTATTCATATCTTTTGTAAATCTACAAAATTGCGTCTATGTATACGTTTCATTGATTTTTTGTTATTTCTTAATTTATTTAATTAATTAATATTTTGCTCGAGTTTTTTTTATTGATTTTCACTTAATGAGCGCAAACATTTTGTAGATTCTAACACAAGAAGACTGGAATGTTGTACTATTCAACGGCATGGAAAAGACAAGTCATTGGGCTGCATTATATTTTGTGGCCTTAATGACATTTGGCAATTATGTGCTCTTTAACCTATTGGTCGCCATTTTGGTTGAGGGATTCAGTTCAGAGGTAGAGTTTTAGCAAAATGAAAAATAAAACAATTCCAAGGCCAAGAAGAATATTTATCGCTTTGAAGACATAAAACAAGTTTGAGCGGCTACTGATACCGAGCAATAAAACACCCAAACACTCCCTATATTTAATCTCACATTATTATTATGCACCTTAAATATGTATTTCTAATTATAATTATAATAGTAGTAATATATACAAAACCCACAAACTTCTTTTATGCCGATGAAAATTCTTCTTAACCTTAAAGCTTTCAACGTAAAATATTCACTCAATTGTGATTTGATTGATAATTTTTGTGGCCGTTAAAGGTCAGCATAGAAAAAGTCTAATTTTGAAATTTTGATTCCCTCAGCGAAATGAACGTCGCGAACGTGAACAACGAGAATTGGTTAAGAAATTGCGTGAGGAAACATTGGCCGAAAATTATAGCGATGCTATGTATGATGAATCGCACAGTGAAGTCGATTCATCATCGACCAATGAGAGTTACTATGAGGTTCGCAATCGTTGGCATAGTGCCGAAGACATACGCAAGGTAAGTTTGTGATATCGTGTTTTTCTATCTCTATAATAACACATCAACAAATTTAACATCAGGAGGCAGCCGAAATGTTTTTGGAATCAAAGAATAATATGCAAAAGCAGCGATTGCAGCAACCTGCCAGTCGAGATCATCAAATAAAAGAAGTTTCATCTTCAGCCTCTACTAATAATCCCTTAAGTAGTAATAATCGAAAATCATCAGAAAAAGATTTACACAAACCTACTGCTCTTGGTAGTGTTGGTGTAGGTGCTGCAAGTGGGGTACCTATTAGTTCCTCCATTATTAGCGATGAAGATCGTAGAGGACTAAAAAAGGTTGACTACTCTCGTTTTTAAGAGTATTTTCCGAAAATACTATATTTTCTTTTGATTACAGACATATTCCATAAGAGATAGACGTGCTGATGTTCCTCGTTTAGCCAAAATTCGACCTATACGTGAACCTCCTATTATAACCACAACTGCTGCTACACCTCAGGACTCGCCAAATACTACTCTGGAAACAGGCACAACTTTTAGAAACTGGGGTCCACCAGACTCTGATTCTACAGAGGTAATTAGCTATTATCCATCACAGAATCTGTCCAATTCTAATGCTCCTTTTTTCACAGAGTCCTGTTTCACCCTCACTCCTAAGGCCACCTACCATATTCAGCGCTCAACGTTCTCTCGACGAAGGCATTCCATCAATAGATCTTATTCCACCATCTCCCGTCTTGCCTCACAAACAGCACATTAATATTTTAAATGCCAGCCAATTGGAAAGCAATACAAACAATTCCTTAAATAATTTTGGTCAGGCTGGAGCCAATACTTCTTTGCTGTCCTCGTCACTTAACGGTAGTGGTGGTATGCAAAGTGTCATTATAGATGACATTTCGAAAAATTCAAACTCGGCTTCAGGTCCTATTTATGTACCCACAATATCTTCAACTGCAGCCAAACTTCAGTTACCTACATATGCACACACCAGAGGTGAAAGCAGTTCGTCAACAGGCCCAGCAGTCTTATCAACTCAAGCCAGTACTTTGAGCTCAAATGCTCAGGAATCTGCCGAACCATTGCAAAGATTGCCTAGTCTTAAACGTTTTCGTCGTTCCAGTTCAAAGAGAAAGAAGGCTGATATTCTAACTGCCGAAGATGTAGAACACCAACTCAATAATGGCAGTGACAATTCCTGCTTATTAACAGATAGTCCTTCGGTAAGAGCGGAGGCCTTCCTAAAACCTAGCACGCCAAATTTATCTGTTAAAAGTAAGGAGACCAATCGCTTAAGTCCTCAGAACTCTATTAGACGCTTGTCAACATCACTGAGTATTGGCAGTGGGCCCGGCAGTAGGCGTGCTTCGGCTTGTCTCTTCAACTCTCACATGTATCAAAATCTTAATCAACCCTCAAAGTTACACAGTGCCCCTGGCAAGCGTAGAATGTCTTCTATAGAACTGGCATTTACGAAAACATCCCACCTGAATCTGCACAACTTGGAACCATCTCGCAAGTCTCTGTCCTATACTAACTCTAAATTGGATTTGGACAAATGGCAGAAAAACTATGCATGTGTTGGTGAAACCGATATGTTGCAGCAGTACATGCAAGAGCGTGAAAGACGTAAAAACTCAATTAGTCAGTATCCCAAGAAGATCATTGAAGAAACTAAGGATCAACAACATTCCACAGTATCGCATTCAGAACGTATGTCTAAAATAAAAATTCTTATTGAAAGACTTGCACCTCACGACTTCACCAACGAACGCAGAACATATTCGCTCTACATATTTCCCGAGAATAACAGGTAATTATCACAAAATTCCACTCTTTCGGAATCATTGTTAATTTCAGAATATATTTCTTAGGTTCCGTCGAATTTGTATTTGGTTTGTTAATCAAAAATGGTTTGACAACGTCGTTTTGCTGTTCATTGCTCTCAATTGCATAACTTTGGCAATGGAGCGACCCAATATACCACCATACAGTACTGAAAGACTCTTTTTGTCAACAGCGAATTATGTTTTTACAGCCGTTTTCACCTTGGAAATGATCATTAAGGTAGGCTTCGTATACATATTTGAATCAAAAAGCAAACAAGTTTGAAATATACGAAATTTGTATTGTCTTCAAGGTTGTGGCTACTGGTATGTTTTATGGCCCAGATGCCTACTTTACATCTGGCTGGAATATAATGGATGGATCACTGGTAACGATTTCAATCATTGACCTCTTAATGTCACTGATTAGTCAATCTAGCCCAAGGATATTTGGGATTTTAAGGGTACTTTATATTTGTATTTCCTTTAAGACTTTCTATTTATACAAAATTGTTCATTGTTTGTTTTCAAGGTGTTTCGACTACTTCGTTCCCTACGGCCGCTACGTGTTATCAACCGAGCCCCGGGTTTGAAATTAGTCGTGCAAACGCTCTTATCGTCCCTTCGACCTATTGGCAATATTGTGCTCATTTGTTGCACATTCTTCATTATATTTGGCATTCTGGGCGTGCAGCTATTCAAGGGTACATTCTACTTTTGCGAGGGCGAAAACATTAAAAACGTTCGCAACATGTCTGACTGCCTTAGCATACCGGGTAATGCTTGGGTCAATAGAAAATACAATTTCGATGATTTGGGTAAGGCACTTATGTCGTTGTTTGTCCTGAGTTCGCGCGATGGTTGGGTCAACATAATGTACACCGGACTTGATGCAGTAGGTATTGATCAGCAACCGATTGTCAACTACAATGAGTGGCGTTTGCTGTACTTCATTGCATTTATATTGCTCGTTGGATTCTTTGTACTCAACATGTTTGTGGGAGTCGTTGTCGAGAATTTTCATCGCTGTCGCGAAGAGCAAGAAAAAGAGGAGAAAATACGTCGTGCTGCCAAACGAGCCCTGCAAATGGAAAAGAAACGAAGACGAATGCACGAGCCTCCTTACTACATCAATTACTCGCCTTCACGCATGTTTGTTCATAACGTAGTCACATCGAAATACTTTGACTTGGCCATAGCGGCAGTCATTGGCCTGAACGTTGTCACTATGGCCATGGAATATCATAGAATGCGGGCGGAGTTGCAGTATGCATTAAAAATATTTAATTACTTTTTTACCGCTGTGTTCATACTCGAAGCCAATATGAAATTGGTAGCCTTGGGATGGCATCTGTACCTGAAGGACAAGTGGAACCAATTGGATGTCAGTATTGTTCTATTGTCCATTGTCGGCATTGTTTTGGAAGAACTAAATACGAAAAAGTTACCAATCAACCCCACAATAATGCGAGTGATGCGTGTGTTGCGTATAGCAAGAGTGTTGAAACTGTTGAAAATGGCCAAGGGAATACGAGCTTTGCTGGACACGGTGATGCAAGCGTTGCCACAAGTTGGCAATTTGGGCCTGCTCTTTTTCCTGTTGTTCTTTATTTTCGCTGCTCTCGGCGTAGAACTCTTCGGAAGACTCGAGTGCTCCGAAGAGATTCCATGTCAGGGCTTGGGCGAACATGCACATTTCGCCAATTTCGGGATGGCTTTCCTCACATTGTTTCGCGTAGCGACTGGCGATAATTGGAACGGCATCATGAAAGACACATTGAGGAATAACTGTGATGACGCACCGGATTGCGTACGCAACTGTTGCGTTAGCTCGGTTATTGCTCCCATCTTTTTTGTGATATTCGTGCTAATGGCGCAATTCGTTTTAGTGAACGTCGTCGTGGCTGTACTGATGAAACACCTCGAGGAGAGCCACAAACAAATGGAAGACGAAATGGATATGGAAGTCGAACTCGAACGCGAACTAGTGCGTGAACAGGAGTTTGAGCAGGAACAAAAACTTTGCGAACAACTGCAACAGCAAACAAAACCGCCTGCGCCAGCCCAACGTCAACTGGGCAAAGTCAAATCACTGCCAATGAACTTTACCTACAACACCCCGTCTCTGGAGAAAAAGTTTACCGGTGTCCTAAACGCCACCAGCAATCGCCGTCAGACGGTCCAGTACTTTAACCAACAGAACGGTCTGGGCCTCGCAGAGATGGGTGGTGCTTTCAAGACACAAGCTCTGACACAACTAATCCCTGAGTCGGCCACAACCGAAGAGAACAGTTTCGACTCCAAACTACAAATACCTCCCACAGCAAGACGTGGACGACGTTGCTCGACAGCTTTGCGTAAACGTGGCACGCTAACGAAAGAACGATCTCTGGACGAACAAGCCATTCGTCGTCGTACCCTCGAATCGAAGCGTATGAGTTCCGATTCTTTGCCTTGGGGAGGCGATGTCGTTGATTTTCGCAGTGGCACTATCTTCGAGAGTCTAGAATCGGACGGCAGTCCTTCCTCCACATACGACGTGCACAGCATACGCAGCGAAGAAGTTCCACGCAGCGTATCCGATGTAGCCAGCATCGTTAGCGCAGTTGTAAGTGAAAAACCGCCCAGTGCGGCTACATCGAGTGCTACCACAACGAGGCGACCATACGGTCGTTCCCTCTCAACCGATCCCACTTTTATGGGTCCTGCACGCACAAATCTACTCTCTGTACCACGTTCCATGCCACCACGTAGTCGCAGCGGCAGTACAAAGCAACTTTTCAAACAACAAGCCCTCGACGAAGATCCCGATATGGACGAGAGCTCCTTGCTGCTGCCAGTGGTCATGGAAAGTGGAACTGATGCCAATACTACGGCTCAAAATGAAAATAAAGCCAGCAACGATGCAAACGGTCGTTTATCCGCAGATATTGCAATAGTCGAAGGTCTGAGCAAATCTGATTCGGCCGAAATATTACGAATTATATCAGAACGTCGACGCATGGATCAACGTGACAACAGCGGTAATGAAGATTCCGACTATAATGAATTATTACTAGTCAAATCTCCTCAGTCATCTATAGATGGCTAGCTCAAGAATTTATATATTTAACGACAACATCATTTATGTCAATGTCATCAGCATGTATCAATCACAATACATACAATACCTGCGGGCTCACAACTTTTCACATTTAAATGTCAATTCTACTGCAAAATCATGTTCATACTCAGTCTTAAGTTTTCAAAACAATTCTTATTAATAATGGTTTTCATTGCTAAAAGAAGATAGTGTATAATGCGATACAATAAGACAAATTCTAATCAACATCATTAGCAGCAGTATCATCAACTCTCTGTGATTAGTTAAATAATTAATTATAAATACTAAAAGATTTTCCTGCATTATATGTAACGCAATTGCTAGATTATTTAGATAGAGCGAAGAAAAACGAACGACCAATTTAACGAACGAACGAGATAATCAAGTGAAAGGGTCTTATATGTAGCTAACAGTATGTGTGTGTCTAGAGAGTCTAGTTGTAAAGTATAAATAGCTACTACAGTGTACATATTAAAGTTATAAATTAAAAGGATTTAAGATTGTTCTTTCTAAAGCACTGCTTCTTCTACTAAATTGTATAATCTTAAGGATAAGCTAAAGTACCTTCTATAGTTGAAGTCTTCTAAACGTGTTACGTTACCTTTAACAAATTACTTCTTATAAAGAAAATTTTATTAATTTTCTTTTGACGTACTATGTATGTATTTAAAATAGGTTAGTATAGAGAATTTTAATGAACTTAAAATCAAGAGCGTTAGTAACAGGAAACCAAAACGTGAGTTTTTTCATTTTAAGTATTTTCCTTCAATAAAAAATACTTTTTAATATTTAAACATATAGAGTGAAAAGAGCTGCTTTGTTGAAACATATAAACTTGGTTAACATTAATACTATTGTGTAGCGTTATTTAGTTGCAATATTTGTCATACATATACATTAAAGAAAATGTTTATTAAATTTATGGCAAAAACATTAACGAAACAATTATTAATTATGGTAAACAAGAAAAAAAAAAAACAAAATAATAATTACAACAATTAGCTGTTAAAACGAGTTTATATTTTAAATAGTAGAACAACAAAACAAAAATATTTAAAAACAAAAACGCATTTATATTGAAAATTTTTAATATAAGAAAAATATTGACAAAAAAAACAGCAAGTGAGTATATGCATAATTGTATTAAAAAAAAATAAAAAGAAAACATCCTACATTTGCATGTTTAGTTTTAGAAAAGTTGAAAAAAATTAGAAATTTGTTTAAAAAAACATTAAATTTTAAACAATATTGTTTAAGTTATATAAAAGTAAATACATTTTTAATGAGTTACTAGGTTCGATGGAGGAGTTTTTTTAACTGTTTAATTTATATAAAACTCTTTTATAGTTTTTAATAAAAAGAAAATTTAAATAAAAATTTGATAAATATATTTAAACAAAGAAAAACTTTAAATAATTTGAAACTTTTTCTAACAAATTTTCATAAAAACAGTTTATTTCAATTTTTTATTTTTGACAAAATAGTTTTATAATTTGTTTAACATTTCAATTTTAAAATTAACTCCATTAAAATCGAACCTTTAAAACACAAATTAAATAAAAAACATTAACTTCAGGCAGTTGCTTAAACTGTGATTTTTTATGAATGTCTTAAGGCTGCCAAGAAGGAAGTTTGTAAAAAATTGTTTAAATCATTAAAAATAAAGAAACAAAACCCAAACTAAAACTAAATATAAAAAAAGGAAACACTACAACAATTTAAATTATCAACGAATTGTGAAATTAAAAAAAAAAAACAAAAAGCAATTTCTTTTTATATAAAAATCTGTCTATATATAAATGCAAAATAAGAAAATGAAAAAAACACTGTCAATTCTTTATCATAAATAAACTATTATATACATATAAACTAAAAAAACAATTTACAAAAAAAAACTTACTCGCTCTTTCACACTACACTATCTAACTAATTTACACTCAAAACTATTTTTATGTCTATAACTCTTTAACTCACTTTTACCTTGTAACTAATTCTTTTTTTATATTTAAACTAAAAAAAAACTTTTAAACAAAATTGTAAATTATTAAACGAAAAACAAAATAAAAAAACTCTTATACTTTTGACTTTACTATACACATAACTCTTTATACGTTAGGATATGTTTTACAATAAATTTTATATAAAACAAATACTAAAAACATACTTTCACACATACACACACACACACACTTACAAAACTCATTTATACATACACATGTACACTCAATATAATACATACTTTCATATACTATATAGTAGATATGTATGTATGTTATAATAAATATGTACTATTTTGTATATAATAGATAATTTCTTCTGTGCCTTCTTTTCCTTAACGATCGATCAATCTATTATAACAAAAGAAAAATTTAAATAAACAACAACAAACTTAAGAAACAAAGCAACAATACTACACTTCCAAAACCTGATCTACAAAATTTTCAAAATTTCATTTATTAAAAAAAAACGCAGTTGAATTTTAAATTAAAATCTATAAAAACTCTGTTTAAGTTTAAATTGTTTAGGGAATTTGTTACTTTAAAAATACATAATTAAAAGCAATGCTGGATTAATAAATATATTTTTTGTTAAACTTTTAGTTTGTTTTAATTAAACTATTTTAAAAAGTTTTTGCTTTTAACTTTTAACTGCAAATGTTTGTTTCTTAAAGTTTATTTAATTTATTATTTAAGTTTTTAGCTGCTTTTTCTTCCCACCCTTTAATTATTAAAAATATAAAATTTCTTTTTTTTTCTTGCATTTTAAACTGCTTCAAAATTAATACATTGCAAAATCTTGTTGATTAATTATTAGGAATTAAAAATTTAAAAAGTAAACAAAAAATTTAAAAATTAAATTTTAATTAAAAAAAATTAGCAATGAAACAAACAATGTTGTATTAAGTAAATTATTTATGAAATTGTTTAGTTTAGCATATAAAAACCCAAAAAATAAAAAAAATAATGAAAATAAAAAAACTAATGGAACAAGAATTGTTTAACTAATAAAAAAAAAGTATAAATATTTAAAAATAAGTAAAACAACAACTACAATAATTATGTAAACCACATTGAGAAATTGTTAAATAACAAAGAAAAGAAAAAAAACAAAAACAACAAATTATTATAAAATAAATTATATTAAAAACTAGGAGTAAAATTTTAGCAAATATTTTAGAATTGTGTAAAAAGTTGTAATTCAATACTTTCGAAACTAAATAAAAATTAAAAAAAAAAAATAACAAAAATGTGTTTTAAATTTCTTTAAAAGAAAACTTCAATAAATACTTAAATTGAATTTTAGCAAAAACCTCACTAATTTTTCTCAATAACTTTTTGGAAAAAAAAATTCGTAAAATCAATTTTTATTAAAAAACTTCAATTTCCTAAAAAAAATATCAACAAATTTCTTAGTTAAATCCTAAAAATTTTTAAAAATTTTGTTTGAAATCACATATCTTCGAAATTTTGAACTTATTTGCGAAGAAATTTTATATCAGCAAAACTAACCTGGTAATCATGAGGATTCATAAAAACATAATTATAGTTTTATTTTGGGGTTAATTTCAAATATAAACATTTTGAAAAAATTTTAAAAAATATTTGAAACTTCCTACTTATTTATGTTCGAACAGTTTTTAAACGTGTTCAAATGGTTTCTTAAATCATGAAGATTTCTTTTATTATTACTTGCGCCCAATTTTTTACATTTTTTAATATAAATTAACAAAATTTAAATGATTTTTCAAGTCAGAATTGTAAGATTCAACTGAAGTTCTGCTTGCGAAAGGTTTACATTAAAAAACATAAAAGCGACAGAAATAAAACAAAAAATGATGAAAGCACAGGATGAATATTAGGCTTAAGGATCAATGTAGAAGAAATTGAGATGAATAAAAGGGTTATGTTAAGATAAAATGAAAAAGCAAATGAAAAAAAAAAAATAATTAAAAATGAATAGGCACAACAACAAAACAACGTTGTTATTAAAGTAGAATTTCAACTTATTTACCCACCTGTGCTTTAAAAGATTTTATAAAAGGAAAAACTTTTAAAGGTACTAAAGATCCAAAAGATCTTTTAAACCATTTGGGAAATATAAAATTTTATGATTATTTCATTAATGGTTTAAAAATATAACGCATATTTTTTTTAAATTTCATATTTTTATTCTGAAAAAACAAAAGTATTTCACCAACAAGGCCATAACAAATTTTCTAAAAACAAAAATACCTTTTAAGTTTTAAGTACTAGGGATCATTGCGGCAAATAATAGAGATCCTTCGTTCTTTTTTTAAAGGTTCGTTGTGGAATTTAGACTCTTCATTAGCTAGAATTTCATGGGTAAAATTATATCTAGCCGTATGGCTAAATAAAAACAATTAAAAAAAATATTTGTAGAAAACTTTCTAGCAGCTTGTTTAGACCTTATTTACTTTAAATATAATTAAAAAAAAAACAACTTTAAACTTACCTCATTATATACAAGGAACGGCGGGGTAATAAAATATCGACATAGAAATTATTTTCTAAAATAGCCTTTGGTTGATTACGATAATTATCTTGTTCATTATTGTTAGTACTAGTAGTTGAGGACTCTTTGGTGCGCACCAAACGCATAACTGCATCCGATAACAAACTTATGCCGGCTATAGTGTGACCACAATACTAAATAGAAAAACAAATACTTAAAAACACAATAAAACACAACTAAATTTCCTAATTACCCTTGTACTGTCCACATGTGGCTTAATAACACCCTGCGGCGCCAAGTCTAATATGTGTATAAATGGCATTATTTCCCCCTCAAATCCTACTTTACTAACACGATCCAATACAGCACGATTGTGGGGATACCAATGTTTGCGTTCGGTTTCTCGAAAACCATGTATGGCCTAAAATAGCAACAATTTTAGCAAATCTTTATCTTTAATTATTAACCATAATATTTACTTACATCATCCCAGTGATCATACTCATAACGTAAACGTTTCATGTAAGGCTCCACCTCTTCAAAAAGTTGAGACTCCTCCAATTCACTTATGAAATCCGGCAATAATTTCATATCCTTTTTAAATTTTTCCAGTTCTTCTAAAGGCCATTCGCCTTTAAAGTCCATTAATGTAAAATCTTTTTAAGAAATAATGGAGAAATATTGAAATTTTTACTAAACTTTTCCCTTGTACAAAACTTACCTTTATTTTGTTTTTGTTCGACATTTTCTTGCGACCATTTTGTTACATTTGTATGTAAAGATTTTGGGCAATTTATTACCACAGTCCATAAGTTATTATTAGAAGCTGTAGCATTTCTACATAATAAAATACCCACCGGTTTAACTAAATTTATTAATTTAAACATTTTTTCTTAAATAAAACTAGAGCAATTAAATAACAATTCCTATCAGACTTAAACAAAATGTCTTCTTCTAGCGCGAATGCTAAAAACTAGTGTTGTCAAATTTGTAAGCAGAAAAAACTCATAATTAAAGAAAAGTGCGTTCACATAAAAAAAACAACAAGAACATATTTTATCTAAAAACCAATAATTAAATATATTTTTTGTTTAAAATCTTCAAATTTTATATATATATATTTGCTTTTTAACTTTAAAAACACGGGAATTTTCTAAAATAATAAAAGAAAACTCTTTTAAAAGCACTAAGTTGACAGTAATTGTTTACATTTAGTCCAGCTGTAAGACACTGCTGTATCCTGTGTTTTAATTATCCAGCTGTTTACCCTGTTTAACCCAGTATTTAGTTCACCCGCCGGCCACTGCCTTATCCAATATAAAAACTTGGCAGCACCTTAACTCAAAATTTGACATTTCTATTTTTGTCCACAGTTGTTTTTGTTTTTTTCTCCACATATGTTTACTTAAAAATCTGCGAAGACAATTTTCGTTTTTTGTGTGTTTTTGCCAATTATTATTTGTGGGAAAAATACGCAATACATATATAGACTACGAATTATAAGTGTTTTTGGCATTTAAGAAATGTACAAATATGGCCACAAACTATCGTCCAGTCTTTGGCAAAGTCAAATTTATGGTAAAACAAACAGCTGGCTGGCCACTGCTTTACAATTGAGAAGTCTTCAATCAAACGCACCACAACAGGACTCCAATGTGTTTCGTAAACGTAAATTTATACCACCAGATCCTTCCAAAGTGGTCAAAGGTGTTGTGCCCAATGAAATTAGGGTGGTAATTTGTGGTGGTGGCATCATGGGTGCCTCGGTGGCTTATCACTTGGCTTTAATGGGCTGGGGTAAGGAAACCCTGCTGGTGGAGCAGGATAAAGTGGGAGGCGAAAATCCTTGGTGTGCCAGTGGTTTGGCGGGGCGTTTTGAACCCAGTTATACGGAGTTGAAACTAGCAGAATATTCTATTGAATTGATAAAAGAACTGAGCGAAAAAGGTCTACCTACTGGCTGGAATCAGGTGGGCAGTCTAAATTTGGCACGCACCTTCGACCGCATGACTTCCTTCAATCGCATGAAATCTCAGGGTGTTGCCTGGGGTATTCCAACCGAGATTTTAACGCCGGAACAGTGTCAGGAAAAATGTCCTATTATTGGAACAAATGATTTGATGGGTGGTTTATGGATACCCGAGGATGGTGTTTGTGATCCCCAATTAGTGTGCAAATCATTTCTGGAGGAAGCTAAACGCATGGATGTGCGTGTGGTGGAACATTGTGCTGTCAAGAAAATCCTAAGCGAACATGGCAAAGTCACGGAAGTGGAGACTACGGCCGGTAACATTCAATGTGAATATTTTATCAATTGTACTGGCTTTTGGGCAAGAGAAGTTGGTACTCTGTCCAATCCTCATGTAAAAATACCTCTAAAGGCTGTGGAACATCATTATTTATACACTAAACCTATTGAGGGTTTAAATTCTAATACGCCATTTGTGCGTGACTATGATGGTGGCATATATTTTAGGGAAAAGAACGGTACCATTTTGGGGGGTAAGTTAATTTTTGTAAATACAATAAAATAAATAACAATTAAGCTTTCCTTTATCCTCAGGTGGTTTTGAACGTGAGGCCAAAGTGGCCTACGAGGGTGGCATTAAACCTTTGTCACAAAAGGAACGTGTTTTACCAGCTGACTGGGATCATTTCCATGAACTGTTAGATGAGCTGTTAAAAAGAGTACCTGCCTTAAGAACCGCCAATTTAGATCGTTTGACCAATACTTTACAGGCATTTTCTCCTGATTGTAAATGGATTTTGGGCGAAGCTCCGGAAATACAAAACTATTTCGTTTCTGCTGGCATGAAAACTATAGGTGTATCAGCCGCTGGTGGTCTTGGTCGTGCATTGGCAGAACTTATAGTTAAAGACACTTGTTTTGTGGACATACACATCCTAGATATACATCGCTTTTTGGGCCTGCACAATAATCGTAAATTTTTAACTGATCGTTGTAAGGAGGTACCCGGCAAACTTTACCAAATATCTTATCCGTTTGATGAGTACAAAACTGGTCGCAATTTACGTATGTCTCCAATTTATCCGGCTTTACAAGATGCTGGTGCTGTTTTTGGTCAAACAATGGGCTACGAAAGACCTAATTACTTCGATGCCAAAAATGTTAAGGGTAAGCTCGCCTCTTTCTTTTGTAACGTTAAAAATTGTATTGTTTTTTGTTAATATGTTGCAGATGAATTTGGTCTGCCCCAATTTCGCATAGCCCAGACCAAAACCTTTGGCAAACCACCATGGTTTGATCATGTGGCAGCCGAATATAAAGCCTGTCGCGAGGGCATTGGTTTAGCTGACTACAGTTCTTTTACCAAATACGATTTTTGGTCTAAAGGTCGTGAGGTGGTGGATCTTTTACAATATTTGTGCTCAAATGATGTAGATGTTCCCGTTGGCAGCATTATTCACACCGGTATGCAAAATCATTTGGGTGGTTATGAGAATGATTGCTCTTTGGCGCGTCTTTCAGAACGACAGTATGTTTGCCTAGGCTCTACTTGAAAAAAAAATTGAAAAATTGATACTGACATCATTACTTGTTGCTTTCTTCGTAGTTATATGATGATAGCGCCAACCATACAACAAACGCGTTCCATGAGCTGGATACGCAAGAATATGCCCGACCACTTGAGGGCAGGTGTTAATGTAGCCGATGTGACTTCCATGTATACAGCCATTTGTATTATAGGTCCTTATTCACGTGTTTTACTCTCGGAATTAACTGATACCGATCTTTCGCCCAAGAACTTCCCCTTCTTTACCTACAAGGAGTTGGATGTGGGTTTGGCTAATGGCATACGAGTACTCAATATAACGCATACTGGGGAATTGGGTTATGTTCTGTACATACCCAACGAATATGCGTTGCATGTCTATTCGCGAATTCATCAAGGTGGCCAAAAATATAATATACAACATGCTGGTTATTATGCCACACGCACCTTGAGAATTGAAAAATTCTATGCTTTTTGGGGACAAGATTTGGATACGTTTACCACGCCTTTGGAATGTGGACGCAGTTGGCGTGTAAAATTCAATGTAAGTTTCCTTTTTAAAAATTTAGAGGGAAATTTTCAAGTTTTTTTTTTTTTTTTCTTCCATATTAGAAACCCATCGATTTTATAGGCCGTGCTGCTTTAGAGAAACAACGTGATGAGGGTGTCAAGAGAATGTATGTTCAATTATTGCTTAATGATCATGATCACGAAGTGGATGTCTGGTGTTGGGGCAATGAGCCTATTTATCGTGATGGCAAATACTGTGGCATGACTACCACCACTGGTTATGGTTTTACTTTTAAAAAACAAGTTTGTCTGGGTTTTGTGCGCAATTTCGATGATGAAGGCAATGAAATGACGGTGACCAATGATTATATCTTATCGGGTCATTATGAAGTCGAAGTTGCAGGCATACGCTTCGAAGCCAAAGTCAATTTACACTCGCCCAATTTACCCACCAAATTCCCTGATAAGGAACGTGAAGCTTATCATGCTACGCGTGACAAACCGGGACAGGCTGATTTGCTATCATTTGGTAATACAGAGACTTCTTAAATTATTTAAATATTTATTCGTTGGCAGTTAGTAGTTCATTTTATTTCTAAAAAAAAGTATTTGATATTTAATCGGCATTTATCTATAAAATCTCATTTTAAAACATATTGCTTCCAAAAAGGAATCCAAACATTTTCATTGTTAAATATGCCTTAAAACAAGCAAAGAACTGCAAAAATTCTTTAAGTTTAACAAAATTTTCTTTAACAATTTTTTTTAATATTTGAAATGTATTTAAAGAAAAGTGTCCTTGTAAATTTTTGTAATTAACTATAGATTAAACAATTTATACAAATTATTCATGTATATGATATGATGTCTTCTCAAATAATATAAAAATATTCAAAATATTTAAGTAACAATTAATAAATTATAAATTTTCCTAAATAAAAAGATGAAAAAACAAACGAAAATTATGGTTTTATAGCAGGAATCGGGGAAATGAAACATTGAAAGGTTCTAAGGGAACTTTTAGAAAATAACTTCTTAAGCTGATTTTAGCCTTTTCGTATCATATACATTGTTTATGGATAATAGAAAAACTATTAAAGATTATGGTCTTTTTGGTTTAAAACTATTTGAGGCGTTTTAAGAAGCATTTTACTAATTTCCTACTTTTCCTAACATACCCATACAGTTAGTTTGTACTACAGTTTTAAGTCCCACTGTGCATATGTACCTTTTTGTAATGTATGTATACCATTGAACATGGGTATTTATGTAATTACAAAAAAAAATACAAAGTACTCGTAACAAATAGTATGTATCTAGCTAAAAAGTATATACACAAAGCTATATTCCAGACCATGGCCAACTATTGCAGCAGATCGATATTTAACCCAGCCAAAGATAGTGCACAACAGATACAAACACATAAACTAATTTGCATGTGGCTACACAAATAAACACCACCATCGCACCGGGAGAGACGAAAACCAAATGAGAGAAAGGACCTGCGCCTTGTTTAGCACAAAAGAGTTAAGGTTTCCTACTCCAATCTATTCTAAACAAATAAATTTCCTCCACCTCCAAGTCAATTTGGGATTTCAGCATTGTTGTGGCGAAAAGAGTAAGTAATTGCACGTAAACTTTTCAGTTCGTTTTTTAGCTATTTGACTGCTGCTACCAACTGAATTGACACGAAAAGTGTAAAAGAATAAAAGAGAATGTGTTCCAAATAGAATCTGGTTGTTGTTGTTGTTTGCTTGGGTATGTGTGTTGTTTTTTTTTTTTTATTTTTTCAATTGAGGTGGTTGAACTTGTACCACCAGTATTCAGTTTTCATGTCCGCAAATGCATGCAATACAAATTTGTTGTGCTGCGCACAAAGTTCGTTTAAAATTGTTTTTTTTTCTTCTTTCAAACAAACAATTGTACTCACTTACTGGTGTTATACCTTTATTATTACTATGATTATTTTGGTGTATGTTGTTGTTGTTTATTGGCTGTATATATGTATGTATATTTTTCAATATTTTGGCGCAAATTTTTGCTTACAGGGATTTTAATGAAGTTTTTAATTTCAATAATTCACCAGGTGTAAACATTTGTTTTGCAACCCCATTTTTGTTTAAACAAAGTTTGTTTAAAAAATAATACAATTTTCAACTATTTAGCTTAAAATAACAGTTCTGAACTTGATTTTGCAGTTGAATAACAAAAACCAATATACATAGATATTAAAAAATTGTATTTTTTTTATTATAATTTTAATATTTACTGACGTCACAGAGTTTGTTATTTAAAGAGAAAAAAAACAGGTATTTTGAACCTACCAGCCAATAATTTCCAAAACGGGTTTGTTTGCATTGATATTGTTCGAGTTGCATGTGTTGAGATTGAAACTTGATAATAATGATCGACAACAATAATCAACCATAGAAATAGATAAATGTTGGCTGGAGAGGAATTTTCATAATCGTAAATCAGTCAACAGGGTTTTTAATATTCTCCATTAGTAGTTGTGTCAATTGTTGTTATTTTATTTGAAATGACAAAAAAACCTGCCTGAGCGGCATACAGAAGTAGGATGGTTTGGATCTAGTGGTTGTAGTAGAGCCGTTACGTATTCAAGGTCTACCACTACAACACGATATTGTTGATTTTTTGTTGTTTATTTAGTTTGTTGTCAGTTTGTTTTTTTATTTTCAAATGCAGCAAGGTGTATTTGTATGTATGTGTTTTAAAATTGTGTTTAATTCAAAATTTAACCGACTACTAAGCCAGGCTTGCCAATTAGCTAAATATCAGTTTAGATTTAATTAGACTGTGAACTTTATTTAGACTTCAGGTATTGAATTGGTTTCAATTTGGGTAAAATTATGACTTGGGTCTTCTATCCATATTTTCATAAAGCTTCAGCAATTAAAATAAACTGACGTGGTGACAGAAATAATGTTCCCGATTTCATTGGATCAATTATTAGAAATAATACAGTATTAACCTTTATTATCCCAAAATTTAAAAATCGTTTTAGGAAATTTGGTCTTGATAAAAACAAAAAGTTAGTTAACTATCAATGAATTTTCAAAAACTATATTTGACCAATCGTACTAAAAATTCAATTAAACTTTTCAATACTCAATATTGTAGGAATAATACCCTTTTAAATTTATCCGAAAATAATGTAATTTGTTAATTAACTAATAATTGTAATATGTTTAACATAAAATGTTTTTACATTTTCCTTATCTTCACCCAACACCCCTATTAAATTTCCACTATATAATAACACCACCCCACCATGCCTACCCCTTCCTAATAGTTTTGGAGAAAAATTACACTCCCTTATAAACATAAAATAGTAATTTATATGGCAATCATGAAATATCAAAAAGCATCAATACATGAACAAAATCGTCACTTGAATACCAATGATGTTACTGAACGTTTACACAAGTGGAATACAAATTGAAATTATGCTAATTGTTTTAAGACGGCAATAGACGACTTGAACAAGTAATCTACGGCAACATTTTAAAGTGAATTCCCGAGTTTTAAGTACTATTTTTGGAAAATTTCATATTTAAAGATAATTTGTAATCAATTTTCTATTTTCAAGATCCTAAAAAAGTTTTTCATTTTTATTAAAAGTGTAGCTCACCAAACAATTCATTATCGTCCAACTCCAACATGCCTCTCTCAATTATAAGATGTGAAACGTAAGTAAAGACTTTTTTCCTTTTGGTCTCTAGTAAAACGTATTTTTTTCACGTAATTGTTGGCATGAATGTATCCTACAATAAAAAAATACACAAATATTAGGGTGTGTGTCTCTGTATAGGTTTAAAATACGAAAAAAAATTAAATGTAGTGAAACATTACTTGGCAATAATCCAAAACACAATATATTCAACGTTGCTAGTGCGTCTTGCGTTGTACGTCTCTGGTTTGTCGACAACTGCAGGCAGACTCAGCAACAACAACACCAACAACAAGAAGAAAAACCACATTATACAAATAGGAATTTTGCATCGGATCCATTGGCACAAAATAACCACATTCCAGTTTAGGTTGAATTTGTTTTTATTATTGTTGTTGTTGCTTTAGTTGTTTTTGTTTTGTTGTTGTTGCCATTGTTATTTTTAATTTTATTTCGTTTTATTTCTTATCATGCTTTTTTCTTATTATTATTTTAATTTTTTCTTGTTACCAGTTTGTTTTGTTTTGCCATTTCTTTGCACACGTACACTCACAGCGAGAGAGAGAGAAGACAAGAATTTTGTATTTACTGTATTCTATGGATACACAAAAGTTGTTTTAGTACCTATTTTTTTTTTTTTTTTAATTTTTGTTTACTTTAACATTTTTCTGTTGTGTTCATCGTTTTCATTGCTGCTCTTCATCATACACCACGTACAATATTACAGCATTTTCGGTATGTACCTATACAAAAATTGTTAAAGTACTCACATATGTACATATGTACATATACACAAAAGACTATCCGCACAAATATTTCTATTTAGTTATTCATCTCGTACTACTCTCTTCTACACCCCTTTTTATTTATTTATTCTCATTCGTTACAAACTCGTAATTTTCCCAATAAACACACACTCTGCTCAAACACATGAGTCCAAACAACAATAATAGATATTTGTATGTTTACTTTTTTGTTCATTCCTTTATCGATTATGTTTTCACTTCCGCTCGTTTGTATTGGTGTGATTATGACGCGCCTCAGCTAATACAAAAAAATCACCAATTTAATACTTACACACTCATTCATACATACGTTAACGTTATGATAGACATCCCAGTTAACATTTTAACGAAATATTTGAGAAGTCTTGAAAAATTTTCCATGAATATAAAATTATAAATAACCCACTTACAAATAGTTAATTTATCGGAAAATCCTCAATTTTCTTGAAGTAGAGAAATTTTCGATTATTTTAAACGGATATTTATTTAATGTAAATTTAAAATGTAACAAACATTTTTTAATATTTTCTTAAAAATACATTAGGAAAAAAACATTATACCTAACTAGGTATCATAGGTACATATTTTATAAAAATCCCAAATAGTGGAGATTTTTAAAAAGTTGGTTTAAAAATACCCTTTAAATGTATTTCAGTAATTTAAATTGTTTTACGTATGTAGTAACCCGCACTAAAGGAATTTAGTTAGAATTTAAATAAAAATGTTTACTGGGCATAACTATCCCACCGACAGACAGTAAGACAAAATATATATGTAGATATAAATCTTGTTTTCTTTCCTAATTCATTCGTAGTGGAAAATGCAAACAAACACATACAGTACATATACAAATGTATTGAGTATTCTAGACATGTTGTGTATGAGAATCATCACCATCGTGTATGGTTAGTTAAAAGGGGGCTGACATTGTCATACTATATAGTAACCAGAGATGGAAAATTAGATATAATATATTATAGATACATACCTACTTTTTAAATTTAATTAATAATTTTTAACTCTTAAAAAACATTTTATTAACACACACAAAATTATAAAAAATTACTTTAGAAAAATATCTATTAAGAAAGCCAAGCAGAATATCAGGTTTACCTGAATATGTATACATAGGTACATGATTAAAATAAAACGAAATTTACAAAAAAATCGCTTCAAATTGCCTTCCTAAAATTTAAGTTTTAAACATTTAGAAAGCTGTCATGTTTTATTTGTCACATTGTAGAAAACATAAAAATGCTGTGAGAATACCGAGTTTTTTAATAAAATTGTCCATAAACTCTTAACTCCCAAACCTGGTGAAAACATCTACATATTTCACAGTAACAGAGAATTTGTCGATTGGTATGTTTTTTTGTTTAATACGTCATAATAAATTTTAATACAACAACGACGGCAACGATCCCTATGGGTCTATGTATGAATTGGAGATAGAACAATAAAAACAACAACTAAAGATACGTAGAATTTTGAATACCAAAACCCTTGTTACTTACTACATTTGAGATTGTATGGGTATAACGACGACGATGGTCGTCGAGTATTGTGCTTTTTATACGATATGAGTACCTGTAATACTTTTTAGCAAAACATTTCCAAATCTAAATATTTCCTAGTTAAAATATACAACATATTGTGACGTCACAAACGAGAAATCATCCATACAATTCTTGTATTGTATACAGTGGTATTGAGAGGTGTAAAATGCAGTCAAATTACTTTTTTGGTGAAATTTTTTTTACTATGTACCTGGTTCTGATATTACATTTCCAAGTAAGTCTTTTTTGAAAAGCGAAAGAGTTAGTAACTTTTGTTGACTTTTCGAATATTCGCTATGGGATTTTTTAGTTCATTCTATATTCAGTCTAGATTATAGTCAGTATATAGTTCAGACTTTATTTAGTTTATAAAGCAGTTTATGGAGAAGATAATAATAAGTCTACTGTCCAGACTATAGTCATGTTAAACCTAGGAAAGCCTTTTAGAATCGGCCACTTATAGCAACGAATAAGTTACAGGACTAGTTCTCTATTATTTTCATCTATAAACCACCTTTTGAGCCACTGTTTGGAAAAAACTGTACTTTGTCATGCGCATTCCGTACTCCTCTATGGCTCGTCGTTATCGTATACATGACGATATTTAGGTACAGTGTCCGTGTAGTTAAACCGCACACACACTCCCAAATACACATAACACAAATATACACACTGATTCTCACAGATACTTGTTTTATTTATTATTGTTTTTTTTTTTTTGTACGAGTATAATATTTTTGAGTACTTAAACCACAAGAGAGCCAAGTATTTTGTTGTTATTGTTCACTATATAACATTTAGAAAAAAATAAATAATATCGGAGTGTGGAGAGTAAAGAAAAAGGGAATAGTATACACACACGCTATTGTGATGATGATGATGATTACGAGTGAGTGATTCACAAAATTTTGCTGTATTCCGTTTTATTCGGTTGCAGACTGTTGAGATACATAGGTAATGCGTCGGTCGGATTTTAATTAAACTTTTCCACGATTTCAAGAGTAATCAAGTAGAGAGGAACATTGATATATCTATTAAGAAAAAATATATATACATTTATATTTGTATGTATAACTAAAGAGGAACAAAAAAAACATAATAGAACATTAAACTGAAAGTACAACAGCAATAACCAGTTTAAAATTTAAACAATTTCAAAATTAAAAAAAGTAAATAATTTACATATCGTAAAAATAAAGTTCAGACAAAAATTAAAGAAAACAATAAAAATAGAGTAAAACAATAATAAAAGAAAGAAGGTGGTATTAGCAAACAAAAAAATAATAAAAAATCAAAAGTGTATTAAAGTGAATGTGTTTTCCAAATTGTTGTTGCCACTCCGCGTAAAAATATTTTTTTGTTGTTTGCTACGCATAAAATGTTCCTTCCTCGATTCGATTTCCTTGCCAAATACACAAAAATCAATAAAAAGGACAATTGAGAACGTATAACAGAACAACAACAACAATACGACTACAACGAGAGGGTCTTATAACGGACAACGGCCTCATGGATTGTGTTAGTTCGTATTTAACGTTACGCCAGTGTGGATGTTGTGTAAAAAATGTGTTTATTTTTCAACACTTTATTAACAGTATGTAAAAATAAATTTTGATCCAACAGGATATAAAATCACTAAACAAAGTTGTAACAAATATCTATTTTAAATAAAGATTTGGAAATTTCCTTAAATTAGAGTGCGTGCATTAACAAATTAAAATTTGTGTTACAAAATATATAGAAAAGAAAACCTTAAATATCCTTAAAAAAATAGAGCTTCTGGTATTGTGTGTATAAGCGTTAAGTTGTGTGGTATAGCTACCTAGTTTTCAAAGGAGAACACAGGTCGTGTATACCAAGAACTGCGCTGATAAACTCAATTCAACCCCAGTGCAAAAACAAAAAGAAGAATATAAAAACAATATAAATAATTTAAAGAATCAACCAACAACCTGCTCAGCAGAAGAGTTACAACTCTTACCATATAAACACCAACCAGTTTTTTGTGTTAATCGATTGCTTGAGCCCAATTTCCAGAGTATCGCACATAGTAATCATGTCATTACAAACTAAACGCCAGCACTGCTATTTGTGTGATCTGCCTCGTATGCCCTGGGCTATGATCAATGACTTCTCAGAGGCGGTTTGTCGCGGCTGTGTGAATTATGAGGGAGCCGACAGAATTGAACTGGTCCTAGATGCGGCCCGACAAATGAAACGTCTGCATCAGGCGGCCAAACGCAGCCATGAAAATGGTGAGGTACAACAGTCATCGGTACAACAGCAGCCTCAGAGTCAGCATCGCAGTGGAGCGCCCATAAGTGTGGGCGTTGTGGGTCAACAACAGCCGCAACAACATCATCATAGTTATCCTTCTCAACGAATAGGACCGCCTCAGGCCACTCTCATGGACTTTCCGGTAAAAATGGAGGCTCACGATGCCAGTGTTCGACCAGTACGCATTTCACACATGACTCCTCATCACATGTCCATGTCGAATAGAGCGGTGGCTGCTGCTGCGGCCGCTGCCAATTCCAACATTAATCCATCCCAGGTGGGTGGACCCGTGCCACCTGCTTTATCGGTTAATCTGAAACGGCCGCCCTCCGAGGAGGATGAACATGCCCATAATGATGGCAGTGGTCCCTCGGGCATTAAAAGGTCAGCTATAGATGATCCTGCCTCCCGACCACCTCTTACTCGTGGCGAATCATTGCCAGCAGCCGTCTCTTTCATTTCGGAACGTTCTTCTGGATTACGCGACAAACATCAGCCGGTCCGGGCGCCCTCATTTGATGCGTCTACCTTTAAACCTGGCGGTAAGTATTTCAAACCTTACTCTCCTTCAAACCCACAACACTCAAAACCCTACTGATTATTAGTTTTTTTCTAATTGTTATTAATAGTGTTGTTGTTATAATTGTTGGTAGTGTGAGTGCTATTGTGACTGCTCGTTGTTGGCCCCTGTTCTTGGAACATTTCTCTAGAAAAAATTGCGTTATTTGCTAATTTACTATCAAATTTCCATTCACATTTCAAGTCAAAGCGTGTTTATCTTATCACAACATGTTTAGAAAAGATAAGTGCTTACTAAAACGATAAACTAAGATAATGAAATCTTATCATTTAACTTTTTACGTTGAAATAAAATCAAAATTTAATTTTTTTTTATAATTAGACTACTTAAACAGTAGTGAGGCGTGCGTACAAGGGCTGTAGAAATTACAATCCAGATAATTCTTATGTATTTTTTTACATTTAGATTGCATTTTTTCTAAATTTTGTATGTGCACAAAGGTATCTGTGAGCGTAGAATAATATTTAAGTACGTGCGACTTTAGGACCAAAAATCTGTTGAGAAGCTTTTAAATCATTTTTTATTTTATATGTATATGAATGTGTATGTATACGAGAGTGTATTTGAGTTTATGTGTATGTATACCAAGGGCTCATATTTGTAACGGTTATCCCGAGACATGTACATACCTATTTGAGATTCAACATAACCCAGGAAACAAAATTGTTTATGAAAATTTAACCGTTTTTGGCAATAGGTAAATAGGAAATGTTCAGCATAACCTTCTTTACCCGCACCAAAAACTATAACATTAATAGCAACCAACAAAGGTATATGAAGTTCTTATAGGTTTTTATACACTAGCTGAATGTGCATCGTGTTATCGGTCGTAATGATAATACCATCTCTTCACGTAATGATCTAAAATTCAAAACTTTTCGGCTTAGCAGTTTAGGTATAATTGACTGAAAATCTAAACTCCGACGCCATTATCGGATAAATTTACAACTGTACACTAACACTTCTCACAATCCATTATTATTTTCTTTGTATATGCGGTATTTAACCAAAATAATATTGACTACCTATGGAATATTAACTATCTATAGATCGAAATGCCGTTTTTGACCAAGTCTGAAATGGATCATTCAAAAGTTATAGGTACCTACATTCAAAAAGGAATATTAAGTAGCAGCAGTGACAAACTTATCACAAACTGTCAGAAATCTCCCCAAACTTTCATCGGTTTTTTTGCGAAAAGCGTCCTTTCGTTTGGCTTTGAAAACAGATATTAAATAGGTCACCAACATTACACTTTAACCATCAAAGAAAATTTGTTCCAATTTCATACTAATGTGTTTGCTGGGTTATAACCGACTTACTGTATGCATATTGTGTGTATTTATGTGTACATACAGATGTGTTCAAAAGTGTATGATACTGTTATACATACACATAAACATGCCTATAAAATAACCCCAAACCAGTTTAGTAAGCCGTGAAAAATGTCATGCGCACTGGTCAAAAAATTTTTGCTAATGTTCCCAGCAAAAAAAAAAAACAAAAACAACAAAAAATTTTGTTAACAATTCACTGGCTGACTACCCCTACCTACACTACCAAAACAAGTTTTGGAGTTTAGACAAGTTAAGTTGTTGTTGTTGGTTTTGTTGGTTGGTTGCCTCTGCTAACATTGTAGACTCATTCACTCACTCGTCCGTACGTACCACAGTCATCGTCACCAAACCAGTTTTTTGTTGTTTTCGTTTAAAAAAAAGTATGAAAAAAACAATGTCTCGACACATTATATTATACACACATAGATACACACATACATGCTCTTAGACTTAAACGAACATGCTGCATACATACGAACATTTATTTTTGTTTTTGGTATGAACGTGTTGTACAACTAGTAAGTTAGTTACAAGTGTATGTATTATAGATATGTATGAATATGTCGTATTAATTTAAAAATAAAAACAACAACATAGAACAAAAACAAGATGATCGTAAGACAAGTCAAGTAAGTGTGGTTTTTAGATTGTGCAGGGGGTTATGGGGGGGTGGTAAGGTATGAAAACTACATCAATACCTCTATTTAAACCCCTCTGCTCTATAAATATGTACATATTTATTCCTCCAGCAACCATAACTTCTCTGTCTCTTGCCTTTACCGCTCTTCCATACACCTCTTCTTTTTGTTATATATACATCGATGTGAGTAGACGTGTGTATGTTTGTAGTATAGTTGTACTATAAGTAAATATGATAAAATATATTTCAATTCTTATTGTTGCTGTAGTATTTGAAAATACTACAGTGGAACTGTAAACAGAGACGTACAAATATAATTGTGCGAGTTTATTTTATAAAAAATATAAATAGACAAGTTTAAATGGATAGGTAAATGTTTATATACAAATTTATTATGTAGTACATACAATAATGTATGTATCTATTGGATAATATTACTATATTAATAATAAACAATTAATAAGTTCATTATTTCAGCATCAGAGGTACATTTTATTGTCGAAGCTAAAGCACTAATTCAAAGAATTTTACAAAGATACCGGTAAAAACCAAATTCGTTTTTTATAGGTAGCTAATAGATTTAGGGATCATAAGGTTTGATCGATTCCTCTTTCTCCATTTTTTTAAAGGTATTAATTTTATTATAAAAAACAGCTGTTTTTAGAAAAAATATAAAACTTAATATCGATCGTATCTTTATTGAAATCAATTGAAATTCGAAAGATTTCGAATATTGCCATTTGCTACCAAAAGTTGTGCCTATATTCGGAAATTAATTACTTTTCTATTAACATTGATAAAAATGTAATTGTAAAGTTCTTTTAATAAAAATATAAACAAAATCAACAGATGTCAATTATTTTTTGAAACTAAAAACAAACCTAAACACAATTTTAAGTCTACGTATCGAGAAATCGTGACAAAAAACTTTACGACAACGAAAAAATTTAATACATAAATATATGCGTGGAACCAGCGAATCGCAATGACCCTAATGAAATATATTTAATATTTCAACAGCATTCGTGTGACACGCTATACGAATAATAATAAAAATAAAAAACTAGCAATAAAAAAAACAAAGCGAGTCACAAATTGAATTTGTAAGAAGCCATACTTGTGACATATACCACTAACAACCAATACGCTCCACCACCTTATTTACCACCCCAGAGAAGTTTTACTTAATGTGAACATGTTGTATCTGTATTTTTGTTTGTCTGTTGGCAAATTTTGGCTTAAACACGTGAAAAAGTTGTTATTGAACATGTTCACAGTATTTGAGAAGTGGTTACTAAATGCGTGTCTATGAACCGGTTATAAAACTAAAACAGAATGTGTGACATCATATGAATGTGTAGGTAGACAAGATCTTGAAAGTATGAATTTTTAATTTGACCAGTTTAATAAAAAACAAGAAAAAACCTGTATAAATAATGCAAAACTACATACATACATAAACAACTATAAAATGTATAGATATTTGTGGCCTTTTTTAATATAACACGTCAAAAACTTGCATTTAAAACTGATTTGTAGCCGATATCTGCCACTAAAACTAGTTATTGACAAAAAATCGTAAAAGGATTATTTGTTTAAATTGTAAATTTAGTCTAGTTTTCTTTGTGATTTTTTTATTTATAAAACCCACTGTTTGATGTTTATTTTTTCATGTACGAATATTTTGATACAACTTTATACTTGTATTCATGAAATCTCACACTGTTATCTGTATAAAAATATAACTGAAGTCTGGTGACTATAAGCCTCTACACATGCAAATATACAATAATGGGTCTTATCTAATCGCAACGGAAAGTTTGACTGATAATTCTCTTATCGCCCATTCGACAGATAACCGACTCTTTTCATCTTATCTCAATGTGTTACTCTAAATAATAATAATAATATTTTTATTATTAATATTAATAATCACAATGATTATTTACAAATGGTATTTATTTTTTGATAAGAAGAGCATGTACACATACTTGTTATAGATACACTAAAAAAACATTCTCGTGTTTTTATAACAATATTATAAATGATAATTTTTTTTATGGAAAAATCAGATGTTTTTTGTTGGGGTATAAAATAAAACAAGTAAATATTGAAACAATCACAAGTTTAATTTAATATTCATTTGAATTATAATGGTAAATTAAAAAAAAAAAATAGAGGAAAAGGCAACTGAGAATAACTTGTTCCGTAACTGATTTATAAAAAAATGCTAAATATTAAAAAATGATACCTCTATTTTTTGGCCGAATAAACTTTTATACCGAAAACTCATTTTTATAACCATATCGTACTTACATCGCAAAAAGGAAAACTAAGATCAATTTTACTCGACCACGTATGTGTAATTCGGCACTTATTTTATTTCATCTAAAAATCATTATTAATTCTATATCAATTATAGTTTAGTCGTATATTGCTTCTAGGTTAGTTGAAGATTATTTTCAATACTTATGTTAAATTCGGTTTTAGATTAGATCTAAATAAGTTGTAAATCAATTCTTGCTCAGCTATATGTCAGATTTTATTTAGTCGTAGGTACATACATATATTACTTCTAGTCCAGTTTTTATTTTAATGTAGATTCTAGTTAAGTTTTAGAACAAGTTCTAGTCTAATTTCAGATTAGTCCTGGTTTAGTTATATTTCTTGTTTAACTGGATTTAGTTCTAGTCCATTTATTTTCGATTTGATTTTTCGGTTACTTTTCACAAGTATTCACACACTTAACAGCCATAAGTAAATTGGAAAGTATGCAGTTTTTACGTTAATTTTGATAAGAATTCTGCTGATTATTTATTTGTATATTTAATTTTGTATAATTTTAATTGAACTGATAAGTGAAAATCTTATCGGTAACAGTCAGTAAAATGTTCTATTGAGATTTGAGACTTTGTGTTAAATATATTGCTATACAAAAGAATAAGATACGTTCTTCAGTTATCGCGTTTTAAATACAGCGAAACATTGTTGAGCACACACTTAAATAAGTTCGTAAAAAACAGTACAATAACGATTACTGAAATCGAAGAAGATATGTATAATATATAAATATTTACTCTAATTTTTAGTAAAATTTTAGCTTTATACCTTAAATTTATTTTAGGAATCGTACCTATAGAATTTAAATAAATCTTTTAGAACTGATAACAGCTTGACGTTATTATCAATTTTTATTTCATTCCCGTTTTAAAGGGAAAGGTGTAATATTTTTTTCGTTGTTTTCAGTTAAGGCAAGCAAATATTTACTAAAACACACATATACCATACATAGATATATTCGTATCAAACATGTGAATGTACAAATAATAAAAAAATTAAATTATATTTTTTAACAAGTTTTTTCAAGTGTGAGTAGAGGTTTTTTGTGTATCTGTTTGAGTAAAAAATAATAAAAACAGTACATATTTCGCAAATTTAAAATTGTTTACGTTTTATCTCTATCGTCAAAGGCCATGCAAACATGCAAAGTTATCGTTATAGGTACCAGAGGAACAAAGTAACTAATATGCAGAACTTTGAAAGAATTGAAAAAATCATTTTTTTTTCTATTTTTATAAACAAGATAAATTAAAATTTATTATAGGTATCTTAATTCATTCAAACCTTTTGATTTTATTAAAACCGTTTCAAAATTTTTTTATAACGTTTCATTGTGTTTTTTCTCTATACAGTTTAATTGTCTGTTAAAAACATGTTTTTTATTTAAAATTAAATAAAATTCATATGCTAAACACGTTTCTTACAATCGTTGCTGTTGTTTGTTGTCGAAGAATGCCAGGAATGAATACAAATTAATAACAAAATTTTCAAAATTGTTATTCAAATCATTTCTTTATATTTTAATGTATAATTAATTGTTTGGGTTTGCAAAAAAAGAAGCAATACCTATTTCTATATGTAATAGATACAAACTTTTAATTTCAGTAAAATAAATTAAACTTTACCTACCTATTATGTTTGTCACTGTTTATTTCATTCATACTATATAGAAAATATTACGACGAATTAATCACACACACTCAAATTATGTGAGACATGCATGTTTATTTATTTTAAGAAAAAATGCATATGCATGCGCTCAGTCTCATATAAATAACTTTTTTTGTGAGTGTGTTTGTACGTGAGTTCTAACACATTTTTTATTTTAGAGTGTAAAGAATTTACTTTATGAAGTGTAAGTTGCAAGATTTTTTTTAAAGGATTTAATTTAGAGGATTTTCTTTTTTGATAAATTTTAAAATTAGTTTTTTATCGAATTTAAAAAACATTTCGTCTGGACTTTAGTCAGATGTATTAGACTATAGTTTGGAATTTAATCTGATTTATAATCTGAGGTAGGTATTTTGTGTAGATTTTCAGTTACAATTGAAAATTTCTGAAATACAAATAGGAAATTCTGAAATACAATTGGAAATTTCTAAAATACAATTATAAATGTTTATAATAGTGCAATTAGAAAGTTCTGAAATTCATTATAAACTTCTAAAGAGCAATAAACTAGAATTTCTCTACTTTGGACCCTTCTGATTCTCAAACCTGAAGGCTTTTTATAATCAAGTTCTTAAAATTAGCTTTAAACATGCAAATTTAAAAGGCGATATTGAAAATACGAATTTTATTAAATTCCTTAACTTTTTCACAAAACATTTGCCAGCCACTGTTTTTCTGTATATATAGTAGTGCATTATGTACTAGATATTTGTGTTTATGTTTGTTGTTGTTGTTGCATTAAATACATAAATTTGCCGCTAATACATTCACCCGCCCTCTCCGCAAACTTTTCTGTACACTTGCACTCACACGAAGGAAAAAAACTTGTAAATATGCCAAAAAGACGAAAAGAAGACAAGCCTCGCAATAATACAAAAATGCCTGCTTCGGCCAATTTTGTTGTTATTTGTAACAGTTGTTGCTTTTCTTAATGTTTTATCCCACCTCCCCCCAACAACAGCAACAAACCCAAGAGAAACAAAAAAATCGTCACAACATGGCATTAGCAATAAAGCAACAACAAAAAGCAAAATACTGAACTTGTGCATGTTTGCATGCCAACCAAAAACAAAAAAGAGAAACAAAAAAATTAACTGACACCATCGCCATTATCGTTGTGTTTAGTGGTGCCAATTTATAAAAATGACGTATGCACACATTGTATTTAGTACTGGGTTGAATGAAAACATGTTGTGTACAGACTAAATCTGAGCGTGCTAGTGTTTGTGTATGACGTTTGTCAGACTGTGTGCATGACAGACCGACTGACAATCGGGCATATAAAAATAGCAACCGCCTAAAATAAATGTTTGTTTATTCAATTGTGGTTAAAAGTTTTAGAAAGAAGCAAAACGATATCGAGATATAATAAATTGTATACAAGAAAAATTTTTAAAATATTGTTTTTATGCCGCCCGAAACCATAGCCCACCTAATATTCGTTTGGCAACCAATTTTTTATTTTGACAGAAAAACAAAGAACTTTGAACCTAAATAGTTGTGTTATATTCTCCATTTAACAAACTTGGTAATCGTTTAAAAATGGAACTAAACCGATATTAAATTGGCCCCAATTGAAATCCTGATTTAATACAACTATTACGTTATGTACATTTTAATAACAAAAAAGTTTTGCACCATCTTTGCCCTCCCTGATGCTAGCAGATGTTGTTCATTATTTGGTGGGTCTGACGTCTGCATTTTTTTGTATGTAATTGTTGTATTTATTTTTTGTTTTGTTTATTTAGAAATTTCTATTGAACCCATCCATTGCTGATTTAATAAATCTTTGTTGGGAGATAAAATAAATAGCAGGGCTGGAAAGTTAAGAAAAAACGTTAACATTTTCATAAAAACTTAATGAAATGTTTAAATTTTTATTTAAACTAAATATTCTATATAATTTGACATGATTTATATTTGAATTTAAAACTACCCCTCTAAAAAGATTAAATCATAAACATGCACTTGAAATTATTTTTTTAAAAATTATAACAGTCACGCAAAGACTTGAAATGCATATGAATGTGAAGTTAATAAATTAATTTTTAATAGAAGTTCTTTTTGTAAAAAAAAATGTTCAAATTAGTTTATTGTTAAGATTTTTTAGGTTAATTTAAATATTAGCACAATGCACTTAAAAAATACACTGAAAATAAAGTGCATTTTTAGTCAGATCACACAGTGTGTTGGTGTACATATTTCTTTGTTTTTTTTCCTTAATGTAAATTGCATAATTTTTACTTATACCTTCTTCTCGTATGCGGGGTTTGACTATTTGTAGTATTTCCAACATTGCCACATCCGGCCGTTTCACTAGGCAATTCGACGCCACCGGCATTACCAACATCTCAGCCACAACCACCTCCGCCACAGTCAATAGCACCACCACCCATGCCACAATTATCAACAACAGCCACCTCAGTTACCCAATTAACTCAAAGTCCAATGGCTAATTTAATGTCTATTACAGAGACATTGCCACCAGGAAGTCCACGTAACGGACCGAGTCCACCCGGACCACCACCACCACGTACCGCCTCAAGAGGTAGTCAACATTCACCGAATAGTTCGGGTGAGTTAGAGTGAAACATAAAATGTTAATTTGAGAGTTTATACTAATTTTTATTATTACAGCAGGTTCATCATCTGGTCGCCGCTCATCCGGTTCACGTCACGTTTCGAGTACAACAGTAACCAGTTCCGAGGTACAGGCCAATCAAACATCAAATGCCCCACCAGTGGGACCCGGTGGTTCAGTGAATAATGTGGGTGTTAGTAGTGCAGCGGCTCCGGGACCTCTGCCGTCACAAGCCACCGGTCCCGATGGACAAGTGACCGGACCTGCGGGTAGCAATGCCTCTGGACAACCACCTAGCGGCCTAAGTAATGCCGGCGCCGCACCAGCAGGCACTGCAGCACCTCCACCCCCTAATACAGCCCAAAATACCACCCTTAAGTGTACGCTCTGCCAGGAACGTCTTGAAGATACGCACTTTGTGCAATGTCCCTCAGTAAATCATCACAAATTCTGCTTCCCCTGCAGTCGGGAGAGTATAAAGCGACAAAATGTAAGTATTTTATGGAGAGGCGAACCGAGCTTTTTTTCAGTTCATTTTTTAAATGAGGCTATAGTATAGTCTATAGTTAGGGCTAAAGTATATTCTATAGTTTGGACTATAATCATAATCATATTGTCCAGTCTATAGTCCAAATAATGGCCTAGCTAATAGTCTCGATTAAAATTTTTACTATTATTATTAAATTGTTATAACATCTTATTTTTTGCCTTCCTCTATAGGGTCTGGGTAATGAAGTCTATTGTCCTAGTGGTGATCGTTGTCCGTTGGCTAACTCAACGATACCTTGGGCGTTTATGCAGGGCGAAATCACGACTATTCTAGGAGAAGAAGTCAAGGTTAAAAAGGAGCGTGAATCTTAATGTCCATTTTACTGCAAAAAGCTGAGGCGAGCTTTGGAAAAATATTAAACAAACAAAAAAAAATTCCCACTTTTTTCCATTTTAAAAAAATGATTGAGGGAATTGAACATCAACTATAAAACTAAAACAAACAACAATCATTTTATTTGAAAGGCCTGATAGAGAGTTTTCCAAAAACATTTAACATCTAAAAGAGACAGCATAATAAAATTATGCTGCCCAAAAAGAAAAAAAAAACTCTTTTTAACTCAGCCCAAAAATCAACCAACTCCTTAACGTTTTTCCTCTTGCTGTTAAGAAATTAGTGTTAATATAACCAATCAACCATTTAAAAAAGTTCCAGTTTAAAAGCAAACATTTTGTTATACTGGATAACTAAATTTGAATTGTTTAATTTGTATAACTAAAGAAAACAAAACGCAAATTTGTCTTAACAAAAGCAGATTTCTCAGATAAGCAGTCGCCCCAGTGGCTGCAGAGAACTTTGATGTAAATATTATTTAAACAAAAAAATACAATATACATATAATAATATTAATTATGCTTAGAGTTATTTAATTATAAAGTAATATTGATAATGATGAAAATAAAATATATATTTAAAATAAAAAAGAAAATAAAATAAAAGTAATATTATAATAAAATTATTGTAGGACTAACTAATTTATGTCTATATGTATATGTATGTATTTATTTATATATAATGTATTATGATGTATTTGTTATTTGTATGAATATGATGAATATCAGACATTTTAATAAATGTTTGAGGTTTAAAACACAAACAAACAAAAAATGAAATATTCTAATAACAACAATCACTTTAAAGAAATACTAATAAATGTGACTATAAATGTATGAATTAATAATTATAATATTTATATTACAAAAACAAACTGAAATGAAATTGTTAAACATACAAAATTTTGTATGAGTAAGCAGACAAAAGTTAACATACTTTATGTTTGTATGTTTGCTTACCAATATGTGTGTCCAAATTTTTTTTGTATGATTATAAAGATACAACAATTTATAGTAGCAGTAGTCGTCAGTCTTGCAGCAACATTAGGTCTAGATATAACGTTAGTAGTTGGATTGAATGCAAAAGTAGTTGTAGAACAAAAGTAAACTAATTCTGTTGGTAAACTTATTTTTGTATTTGAAAAACTTTAGTAAAATGAAACATCTTTTGCTAGTCGACTACTGGGGAAAAATCATACAAAATAAGCCCACACAAACCCCAATTTGAATATACAATTCATGTATGTATGTATTTTTATAGCCATAATGAATGATCCTTTTTGCAAAGAGAGGATTCATTCTAAAGATCGAAATTTTGTAAATTTTTTTTTTTTTGGTAGTTGTAACTAATTGTAGCTCTAGTAATTGTAGTCCAGTAGTTCCGGAAAATTAAACAATCCCAAGTATATGTAATGTACACATTTAAACACACACACACAAATAAATACACCTTTTGCATATGGTTTTAGTTCTAAGTCCAAATAAATAATGAATTGTTTTCAAAATTATATTTTGAAAGGCCTTATTTTTTATAAAATATTTTAGTTTTTTTCTTGGGGTGAAAACAACTACAACCCAGAATGGCCGTAATGTAAAACCACAAAAATTGATTTGAAACTAAAGAAAGAAAAATATTCAAATATATTCTAGAATAGAAATTAAAGACGGATGTATTTGTTTTAATTAAAACAACAAGTATGTATAAATTGAAAAATTTCATAATAATTTTTAAAACCATAAAATTCGAAAAATTTTATAGAATTTTTGAAATTTCAGAAGTTGTTCTTACTACCAAATAGATTTGGTTCTATTAGAAGGTCAAGCATTCCGGTTTAAAAAAAGCTTTCCGAAATTGAATTCCTTACAAATTTTAGGCAAATGTTTTGAAGATTTCTTTTATAAAAAATTTAATAATTTTAATATAATTTTATAAAAAAATGTCAGGATTTCAAAATTTCAACGTAAAAGTTCAAATTCTTAAAATTTGTTTGGAAATTTGTTTCATGAAGCGATTGTTAAAGAAAATTTTAGATTTTCAATACTATTTCATAAAATGTGTGCGATTGGGAAATGGTTTTGGAATTTGTTTGGAAAAACATTTTAAATCGATTCTCAAAAGTTTGGACTCAAAATGTTTTAAATCTTTAAACTATCAAGAAGATGAAGGGCAACAACAGTTCTAAAGTGTTTATCAACAAAAAATTATTGAAAGAACAAAATACATTTTGAATTTTTTTAGAAATTGCCTACATTTTCAACATACCTTTAAAATTCACTCAAATTTAATAAACACACCCACCAAATCACCAACAATACACTGACGGAAAAGTACTTGATTACAACAATGAACTATGAACTTTGATAATTAAATAAAATGTGTGTGTATGAATTAGAATTTAAATTAATATTGGATATAGTTATTTAATAAAAAAAAAGCAAATAGGAATACATTCATTAATTTTTTTGTGATATACAAAATAGTAAACAAGACGACACGTTAAGGACACAATCCTAAAAAAAAACAAATTAACTTACAAAAAAAGCTTAAAAAAATCTAAAAGAACTTTGGAAAAAAAATCTTAGTAACAATTTTATAGAATATTTCGAAATTTTTTTTATATAAAAGAAACTAAAACCAATAAAATTTTTAACAAAATTATAAAGAAATAAAAAATTGCAATAAATTAAAATTTAAAATAATAAAGGGAGTAACTAACTTAAGATAATCAAAAGAAATTAAATAAAAATATCTCTCTTCGCATATTGGATATAGAAATTTGTATTTGAGACAAAAATAGTCCCAATTATAAAAATAAAATTATTTCCTTGATTTTAATTTTTTTTTTTTGTAAATTATCTAAAGCTTTATTACGAATTTTGTAATTTGTAATAAATTTTTAAGGGTATAATCAATTTTAAACACACACACACAGAAAAAAAAAAAAAAAACATAAAAGTATTAGCGTTTAACGTTTAAACGCTGTTAATATATAAATTAATAATTAATTAAACTATAAAGAACAGAAAATTATTCAAAATAATAATATGATTAAATAAATGAAAATAATATGACGATATATGATATGCCAAACAAAAAAATTCACTATAATATAGAATGAAAGTGTTTTATTAAAGTTTATTTTGGAAGGACATCTATTAATTAAGAAAATAAAAGGTAAGTTTTAGGATTTTATTAAAAATCAAGAAAGTATTAGAAATAGTTTCTGTTTAAAATAGTTTTCCTTTTATGATTCTCAACAAAAAATTTTGAAATTTTTACTTTTAAAAAGAAAATATTTCGATAATTTTATTGGAACTTCTAACTATTTTTGACAGTTCATATCTAATTTGTTTGATTTTATTTAGAAAAAATAAAGTTTTGAAATTTTGACTATTTGAAATGGCTTTAAAATTTTGATTTGTAAAAAGGCATTTGACATTTTAGAAATTAAAGTTTGCTTTACAATTGGGATATCCAACGGCAAGCGTCTTTTTTAATTTTGATATTTCTTTAATCTAACAATTCCTCCCAATTTTCCAAATATTTTTCTATAAATTCTGAACACTTCTATCTCAAAACTGAAAGTCTGAATAGTACTGAATGAAGTATGACTAATTAAGGCTGCTATTTTCTCAGTACTACTTAAAAATATTGCTCTAAAAATGATTTAAGTGTTATTCTCATATTTAAATAAACATTTATTAAAAATATTTTATAAATAAAAGACTTGCATACTTGCTTGTAGATAATTTCAAACAATAAACGTTAATGAACGTTTTTATCACACAAAAAATGAGAAGAAAAAAAAAAACGTAATTTCAAAATTTGTATGTAGATCGTTTTAATTGAATGTACATATTTAGCGGAGATGATCATGTGAGTAGAAATATATATCAAGTAAACACCTGTGAGTTAAACGATTTGCTAACAAAACTTTTAAAAATCCTCAAATATAAAACGTTTAGATAGTAACTTTTTACAAAATCTTATATTAAACATAAAAATATATTAAACTATGTTTTAGTTTTTATCACAACTAAAGGTTTAAACAGTTCCTTATTGACAATTTTAACAGATTTTATTTGTAATCAAAAACTTTTTAAACATAACCTATAAATTTAAACAGTGTCGTAATGTGCAATACAACCATTATGCATTTCAATTATAACCGTTAAAATACCTTTTGCGAAATTATTAAAATTTAAACGTTTAATAAAAACCATAAATTACTCACCTCACCTACCCATCTCTGTGGATATTCATTTATTATCATTTGTTTAATTTTAAGTTCAAGTCTGCGTTTAATAAAATCAGTTCACATTGAAATGTATTTAAGGCAAAGTTTAGGTTTTTGTTTATTAGCAATATGTCTAATACAAATCACTGCTGCTCTCAAAGACAAATTACCCAATATTGTGCTTATACTCAGCGATGATCAAGATGTTGTCTTAAATGGTCTTACGCCCATGATGAATGTTAAAAATTTTATTGGTTTAAAGGGAGCTACATTTGAAAATGCTGTAAGTAGTGCAGAAATTTAAATAAAATTTAATAAATTACAGGGTTTTCTTTAAATTACTCAGTTTACCACTTCTCCTTTATGTTGTCCCTCACGTGCTAGTTTGCTTTCGGGTCAATATGTTCACAATCATCGTACTTTTAACAATTCCCTGGAGGGTGGCTGCAACGGTGTACATTGGCTTTCTCAAATAGAAATGGAAACTCTTGCTCCCACTTTAAAAGCTGCAGGTTATACAAATTTCTTTGCTGGCAAATATCTTAATCAATACAAAGGAGCCGAAGTGCCCTCGGGTTGGCAAGAATTCTATGGTCTTCATGGCAATTCACGCTACTACAACTATACCTTAAGGGAAAATTCGAAAAATATTAGCTATAGTAATGTTTATTTAACCGATTTGTTGCGTTCTAAAGTTAAGCGTTTCATTAACTCTCAAGAAGATTTGTCACCATTTTTTGCCATGGTGGCCCCACCAGCTCCTCATGCACCCTATACACCCGCTGAACGTCATCGTAATGCTTTTTCGGGCCAAAAGGCTTTACGTACTCCCAATTTCAATGTTATTGACAAAGGTTTAGGGATTTTGCTTTAATTAAAACTTGGAATTGTCTTTTAAATATCCTATTTTCCAGATAAACATTGGTTGGTTTCTAATACGGAGCTAATACCCAATAATACTTTAGATTTAATCGATAGCTATTACCAGAAACGTTGGGAATCTTTATTGGCTGTAGATGAGCTAGTAGCAGATATAGTTTATACTTTGGAACAAAAAGGTGTATTGGAAAATACTTATATTATATATACCTCTGATAATGGTTATCATATGGGTCAATTTGCCCAGCCATTCGATAAACGTCAACCTTATGAAACCGACATTAGAATACCATTACTTATAAGAGGCCCTACAATACCAGCAAAGGTAAAAATAACTGCTCCTACTGCTCTCATCGATATATTTCCCACTATTTTAGAATGGCTAGAATTGCCTTCCAATCCCCAAATCGATGGTCAGTCTATTAATGCCTTTTTAGCCAACGCCCCGGAATATGATGCTGTTTCAGATCGTTTTTATAGACGCAGTCTTTTGGTGCAACATTTTGGTGAAGGTAATTTAAATACCTACAAACCAGAATGTCCCTGGTCGAGAACAGATCTTTTGGCGGAGTGTACTGTGGAGGCAGCTTGTCATTGTCAAGATTCCTGGAATAATACCTACTCCTGTGTACGCCATTTTGGCTATCAAACCAATCGTTTATATTGTGAATTCCAAGACAATGAGGTAATTTTTTAAATAATTCTTAACCAATCAACGTTAATAAGTACTTACTTGATTTTTCTTATAAAGGATTTTGTAGAGGCTTATGAAATTGACCAGGATCCCTATCAAATGCTTAATATGGTTAAAGATATGCTACCCATCGAAAGGGCTCTTTACAGTCTGGCCTTGGTTAATTTGACAAAATGTATCGGCTCTTCCTCCTGCAGTGATGTAATTTTGTAAATATCTTGTCAAATTAATATTACTTTCACATATTTTTTGTTTAATTTTATTGATGATGTGAGAAACACACAAAAAAGAGAAATAGCTGGTAGAAATATTATTAATTAATTAGATTGTAATCATTTACAGAAGCGACAAATCTATATTATGTCCATGTTTTGACTTGTCCAGTTTTTAATTTGATTTTCTTTTAAGTATCAACAAAATTATTGCAAAATATTGTTATTCATCATTAAAAAAAATAATAATAATAATAAATATGTATTTTAACACAAAATCCATTTAAAATGTTAAGGAAAATTAAAAGAAAATAAGAAATATTTCGAAATTCAAATTTGTTTGTTATAAATTTTGTTGTTTTGTATTGAATTTTAGTGGTCATTGCTGTATTTTGTGGTATTTTTTTTTGTGGTGTCAGTACTCCAAGTCATTGTTGTTGCACTTATAACGTATCTTAAAAAACTAAATTATGGGAGTTGCGCGCTTCGCTGGATATTAGTTTTTGAGCATCTAATCGGCGGCTGCATTCTCCTTGCTGGCAGTGATGGCTTTATCCTCATCGGCCGAGGGCGTATGCCAGGTGAGTCGTTCTTCATAGAACTGTATAACAACCTGGGGACATCTGACATTTGCCTGTTTAGCGGGTACTAAATCAGCTTCGTCGCTACCCTTCCATTTCATCAGGAACATAAGTTCACCCGAAGAATCGGTAGCACCCAAAATTTTAGACGGCTCTAGACCACGATCAAAGCCCACCGTTTTTCTGGTGTCCTTTTCATCTTCGGCTGCCTTTCGTTTAGCCTTAGCTTCGTTGTTTGGTGCTGTCGAAGGTCGTTTCTTGGGCTCCGCTAAAATATAACAGAAAATTATTTGTTTATAAATAATTAAAGGGGAAATTTACAAAAGTATACAAAAACTAACCCTTTTTAGGTTTTATGGACTCTTCATAGGCAGCAATTAAATCCGGGCAGTCAAGATTTTCCACCGGCTCCCATGTGTTTTCACTGCGTGGGTATCCCTTCCATTTAAGATAATATTCAGTCTAAAAAAACGAATATTTTATGGATTATAACCAAGTCTATTAACTTTTTTTGCATGCCTGCGTTACCTACCTTGCCGTTTATAATGCGTTTATCCTCAATTCGTTCCACGGAGTACTCTGCCTCAGGCTCAGGCTCATTTGCAACATCGGCCATTGCTATGCTTTATATATTTGTTGTTTCTTTTAGTTTTGCAAAAATTTTGCCAACTACCAACTTTTGGCTACTTAACTTAATGAAAATGCTCTTCCTGTTATGGCCAGCCAAGCTAATTTCTGAAATAATAAGAAAATATACAATTTATATTGCGACTATCAAACCCAAACATCAATGAGGTTCACGCCAACCGGCCCAAAAATATAGGGGTAAACATTTTATGGCAAAACTTTAAATGGTTTAAAGCTTTAATAAGATTTTAATGTAAATTTCATTTATTTTGCACATTTAATTTACCTTTTTACAGAAAATCCAATTTTCTTGAAGTTAAATTGTATAGAAAACGCGATTTTTTCACTATGTAGAGATTTACAGCTTGCGTCTTCTTCTTGCCTTTTTGGCTTTTTTCTTTTCTCATATTTTCCTTCTGCTTCATCCGTTTAATTTTGTTTAAAAGTGCTGCCACTCTGCTAAAAATTTAACTAAAATAAAGAGTTTAAATGATATACAATATTTTACATTATATTTTAAAAGTAAATTTACTTTAAAAATAACATTATAAATTTAAATGTATCAAATAATTGGTTAATTTGGTAATACAAAAATATATTAAAAATTAGTATGGCATCACTTTTGAGTAATGTTGCCAATTTCAATGAGATTCCAAACGTGTGGCAACATTCACGGTATATCTATAGATAATTTTCATTAATTATGAAAAGGCTATGATGCAAAAGTATAAACAAATTATCTTAATTTTAATTTGTATCAATTAGTTATTATCAACTTAAAAATATTATTATTTTAATAATTTTCATTATTCTACATTTTAGTGTGAGTTATTTGTCAACAAAAGCCAACTTGGCAGCACCTAGCATAATAACAAATGTTTTTCAAACTAGGTAACACTTTTTATTGCCAAGGCGCCATAACTTGTGTGTACTGTTTTGTTTGTTTCTGCAAGAAAGAAAATAATAAAAAATAAAAATTTATAAAAAAATAACTAACTTCTCAACCAAATAACACTAGCAATAATAACAAATTATACGAATTTTTATCTAAAACAATAATTTTTGAAGAAAGTGGCTTAAAAACTGGAAAAGTCCAGCGGTCCAGAAGTTTGCAAACTTCTTAATGGCAGGAATATACTTCCTTTTCGAAGTACAACGAATTAAAGTCCGTTGTACATCAAACCCAATCATACCTTACATTTCCGATGTGACCTGGTCTACCAATTCATGTTTGTTGGTGAGTGGCAGTGACCGTAAAGGTGCAAAATTTGCTCGGATCGACATAAAAACACGTACATCTTTTACCGGGATGACTTTGCTGAGATACCCCCTCTAAGTAGAATGATCAGTTCATATCAAGGTAGATTATTAAGTGGTTCATATAAAAACGGTTTAGCTGAGGCTGAGCTAATTTCCAATTCTCTGAAATGTTGCCATTTAAATTTTTTATTACTTTAGAAAAAATGTAAGTGGCAACATTTGCGGTGTAGCTACGCCTAACACTTCTCATGTTTGTTTTCTAATGACATTTATCAATTTTACTGGGTAATGCCTTTTTAAAAAGCGACTTGTACGGAGTCGTCAGCGAAAATTTCTTTTTTTATTGTAAGTTTATTAAAAAATTGTGAAATTATTGTTAAAATGTCTAAAAATATAAACAAAAACAACAGCTATAAAGACCACAACTTAGAGTGCAACTGCAAGTTGAAATAGTGCGCTAGACAAAAAGTGTATTACAAAATTATTTGCAAAAAAGTTTGTGGTGTGGCATCAGCCATGTTGGCTGCAAAATTTATGTGCACAAAAAATACCTAACCTCAAAAACAATTGCTTATTACTAGTTTATTATTGTGTTTAATAAAAGTTTAATTTTGTGTGCTTTTATTTCAGGAAAAAGACTCAAAAGTGAGTGTGGACTAACAAAACAATAAAAACATGTCACGTTTCTTTGCTACCGGTTCTGACTCGGAAACCGATTCTGGAGATGAAGAGGTCCAGGCACCAATCTACAGCAAAACCTCTGCCTATGTAAGTATATAACAATACAAAATATTATTATAGTAAATAATCTTTGTTTTTATTTTTATCACACCAACAGCAATTCAGTGATGATGAGGAGGAGGTAAAACGTGTAGTACGTTCCACCAAGGAAAAACGCTATGAAAATCTTACAGCGCTTATTAAGAATATTCGCAATCACAAGAAAATTAAGGATATGTCCAGTATTTTAACAAGTTTTGAGGACTTGACGCGAGCTTATCAAAAGGCTTTGCCGGTTATAACCAAGGAAGAAAATGGTATTACTCCTCGTTTCTATGTACGTTGTTTGGCCGAATTGGAGGACTTCATTAATGAAGTGTGGGAGGATAGAGAAGGACGTAAGAATCTTTCCAAGAATAATTCCAAATCCTTGGGTACTTTGCGCCAGAAAGTGCGTAAATACATTAAGGACTTTGAGGATGATTTGGTGCGTTTCCGTGAGAACCCCGACCAAGAAAGTGAGGCTGAAGATGAAGAAGCTGCTTACGATTCGGACAATGAGAAACCACATGTAGCCGAAGTCCGTGATCAAAAACAAGCTAGCGAACAAAAATCCGCTAAATCTGCTCCTGCCAAAACTTTGGAACAAGATCAAGATGACTCGGATGATTCCATTGATTGGGATTCTGATACTGAATCCGAAACTGAATCCTCGGATGACGACAATCAATATGTTAACATTCGTGATCGTTTCTTGAAGAAGCCCTCTGGCAAAGAAGAAAAAGAAGATCGTGAAGAACGCAAGAAGGAGAAGCGCACCAAGGAGCCCAAGGCCCGCAGAAAGCAAGAAGAAGCCGATGAAGAGGGCGAATGGGAAATTGTTGTTAAAGGTCCAGTGGTTGAAAAACCTAAAATGTTCGAGAAGGATGCCGAAATCGATGTTCCGTTGGTGCTAGCCAAATTGAGTGAAATCATGTCGGCTCGTGGTAAGAAACGTACCGATCGTCGCATGCAAATCGACATGTTATTTGAATTACGCGACATTGCTGAGGAACATAACCTTGGTGTAGCTGTGGCTGTTAAAATCCATTTCAACATTATCTCCGCCATCTACGATTACAATCAAAAGATTTCGGAACCCATGAAGTTGGAACACTGGTCTAAATTGCTTGATGTTATGCAAAGCATGATGAAATTGTTATTGGCCAACGATAACATTACCATGAGTGAAAGTGTTTCGGAAGAAAATGAGGAATTCATCACCCCCACTTATTTGATTCGTGGCTGTCCTTTGGCCGCCGTTGAACGTTTGGATGATGAGTTTACCAAATTGCTCAAAGAATGTGATCCTCATTCCAACGACTATGTCTTGCGTCTTAAGGATGAAGTGAATGTTACCAAAATCATTGAGAGTGTTTTGCAATATTTCGAAAAAATTGGCAACAATAACGAACGTTGTCGTATCTACTTGCGCAAGATTGAACATCTTTACTATAAATTTGACCCTGAGGTTTTGAAACGCAAACGCGGTGAAATTCCCGCCACCACCACTACCACTGTTGAGGTCATGGATCGTTTGTGCAAGTTCATATATGCCAAGGATGACACCGATCGTATTCGTACCCGCGCCATCTTGGCTCACATCTATCATCATGCCTTGCATGATAACTGGTTCCAAGCTCGTGATTTGGTACTCATGTCTCACTTGCAAGACACCATCGATGTTGCTGATCCCTCTACCAAGATCCTATATAACCGCATGATGGCCAATTTGGGTTTGTGTGCCTTCCGTCAGGAGAACATTAAGGATGCCCATCACTGTTTGGTTGATTTAATGGTCACCGGTAAACCCAAGGAATTATTGGCCCAAGGTCTTTTGCCCCAGCGTCAACATGAGCGTTCTGCCGAACAAGAGAAGATTGAAAAGCAACGTCAAATGCCTTTCCACATGCACATTAACTTGGAATTGCTGGAATGTGTCTACTTGGTGTCCGCCATGCTCATTGAAATTCCCTACATTGCTGCCCATGAATTCGATGCCCGTCGTCGCATGATCAGTAAGACTTTCTATCAACAATTGCGTTCTTCCGAACGTCAATCGCTTGTAGGTCCCCCTGAATCCATGAGAGAACATGTTGTCGCTGCCGCCAAGGCCATGCGTTGCGGCAACTGGCAAGCCTGTGTTAACTTCATTGTCAACAAGAAGATGAACACTAAAGTCTGGGACTTGTTCTACGAAGCCGATCGTGTGCGTGAAATGTTGGTGAAATTCATCAAGGAAGAGTCATTGCGCACGTATCTCTTCACCTACTCAAATGTGTACACTTCATTGAGTATTCCCTCGTTGGCTCAAATGTACGACTTGCCCGTCCAAAAAGTGCACTCTCTCATTAGCAAAATGATTATTAACGAAGAGTTGATGGCCAGTTTGGATGATCCTACTGAGACCGTGGTTATGCATCGTTCCGAACCTTCACGCCTACAGGCACTCGCCATGCAATTCGTCGATAAGGTCACTAATTTGGTGGATGTCAATGAAAAGATATTCGACATGAAGCAAGGCAACTTCTTCCAACGCGGTAACATGAACATACGCAATCGTGGCTATAATCCCAATCAAAACAACCAAGGTGGTGGCAACTGGGGTGGTCAACGTCGTGATAATCGCAACCAGCGCAATCGCAATCAACGTAACCAACACCATCATCACAAAAACCAACAGCAGCAACAACATCAGCAGCAACAGCAACAACAAAACCAACACCACGAGCAACAAGTTCAACAACAAGTCATTGCCGAAGAGTAGACTCCTAGTCTACGCTTAGGGGAGCGCAACGCAGCAACTACAAAGACAACTTTTTCCTCATAATACCCCAAATTCATAAGTCTCAAATTGCAGAGATTTTATGAAAATGTCATTACAACGCAACAACAACAACAATATTTTCTCCAACTGGCGATTTGCTCCCGGTCTCAGTGGACCACCACCGTGTACAACATTGGGACCGGGAGAGTAACAACAGAATAAAGGTTTCATTTTAAATTTTGTGTATAAATCGAGGATTGAAATTCCTTCATTTTTTTAATTCGAAGGTTGTTAAGAATTGTTAAGAGTTGCTTTGTTGTTCAAAGTGTGTGTATGTGCGCGTGTTTCTCCTTAGTGGTAATATAATTATAAAGTATAGAGAGATCGAGAAAGTAAACCCTTTTTTTGTAATACGTCATACAACAAGTATAAAATAATATTAAAAATAAACAAAACAAAAAAAAAAAACTAAATAAAAACAATAAAAAACAAACTACAAAAAACCCTAAACAAAGAAAAACCAAATATTTACAGTTTTTTTTAAACAAATTTATAAAACGAGGAATTAAGAAAAACTTTAAAGAAAAGCAGTAGTAAAATTAAAAAATAATCAAGAAATCAAGTGGAGTAGTAGCAAGTAACCCAGAAATATTTTTATGCAGTAGTATTATTCAAGAAATCAAGGCAAGTATCCGAGAAACATTTCAAGCAGTAGAAAATTCAAGATCCCAATTCAAGAATCCATTTAAATTTATAAGGCAGTAGCAAAATTTAAGAAAGCAAGTCAAGATATATCAAGAACTGAAGTTAATAATTTTTCTTGTGGTAAGTTGTTGCATTTAAATTATTCAGTAGTTGAGAATTTTTAACAAAGTAGACAAATATTTCAATTTAAGACAAAAACTAATTATGATCTAATCGAATACAAATTTTTCGTTTAGAATTGTTTACATTGATTCTTGATTGTAAAAAATATTAAGAACAATGTCTCATATTAATGTTTATATTTTGCGGTTTAATTGTTTCACTTGTAGCAAGTTATTTTATTAGAAGTCGTTTATTGGTTAGGGATTTTCATCTGATAATGAGTAATTTTTAAATACACCTTATCAATAACTAAGTACAACAACAATTTCAAAGCGTGTTTTTAAAATAAAGTGTTTAATGAGTTCTAGCTGATGTATATAGAATGATTAAAGGAAAATAACTTTTGTATTTAGAAAAATTCGTGACATAATAGTGTCCTTTATACCAATAGTTTACTAATAGTGATCTGCTGTCACCCAGATGGTTTTTGAGTAGCATTTGGGGGAGTCCACGAAGAAGGCTGATGAAATAATCATTGTATAAGTTATTATTTTATTAATCAAGCATGAAGAGTATATGCTCGAGTTCGAGTCCCGCTCGAGGATAAATTTTATTTCAAATTGTAATTAATTTATAAAGAAAAGGGTTCCTATAAACCAATAATTCACAAATGTGTTCTGCTGGGGAGTTCGTAGCAACATTAAAGGGCCCTCCAAGTAATCTTAAAATCTCGTAGAGTTGTATATGGGGTTTCCTCTTACTGGGTCTTATTGTCACTCCTGTTTAAATTGTAGCTTTTAAAACTCCCAGAAGATTCAGAGTATATGATCGTGGTTCGTTTCATTTGTAGAGAATTGACAAGTGTGTTCTGCTGGGGAGATCGTAGCAACATTAAAGGGCCCTCCAAGAAATCTTAAAATCTCGTAGAGCTGTATATGGAGTTTCCTCTTACTGAGTCTTATTGTCACTTTTGTTTAAATTGCAGCTTTTGAAACTCCCAGAAGATTCAGAGTATATGATCGTAGTTCGTTTCATTTGTAGAAAATTCACAAATGTATTCTGCTAAGGAGTTAGTAGCAACATTAAAGAGCTCTCAAAGAAGTCTTCAAATCTCGTACTGCTGTATATGGAGTTTTCTAGTACATACTGAGTATTCTTGTCATTTTTGTTTAAATTGCAGGTTTGAAACTCTCAGTAGATTCAGAGTATATGATCGTGGTTCGTTTCATTTGTAAAGAATTATATTGTCCCAAATTATAGCATGATAGCTGCCTCAAGGCCTATAATATATATTAGCTTCCAATTTGTAGAAAGCTTATGTACATGGTTCCTTTCGATTCTACTGTAAATAGCCCTGCTCTGTAAAGTCATCATCTGATCCTTAGTTTAAAAAATGCCTTAAACTGGTTTGAGAATTCAAAATTTATATATTTTCTGATTCATACTTCACTTCTAGAAAGCTTCTCTAATTCATCTAATTAAATTATAGCAGTATTTAAACTAGTTTGGTTTACATTGTTCTTTTACTAAGCTCTATTATCTTGTGTTAACATTTTGCCTTTTTTGGCAAAAATTCTGCCTTTGAATTGTACTTTTTGCCTTTTAAATGAAGTAAAGGTGAGATATTTTTATATTCCTCTGTCTGTTTAATCTAGTCATATCTAAAAGGTATAATTGACATATTAAGAAGGAATCAGCAACATTTACTCCTCTTATTACTAATTAAAATCTTCTTAATCGAGTTGAAACTTTCATTTTCTGATTTTATTAAAATTTTAAACCTTTTTAATAATTAATTATCTTTATATATATATGAAAAAACACCATTTATTTTTTTTTATTTTTTTCTCAGTGTATAGCACGATTATTATATATTTAGCGATTAATAGCTACAGTATGTGAATATGAATTATTACAAGAGACGATATATACATAAAATAGCAACTACAAAAAGAAAATTTTAGGAAATAAAGAAAATTTTTCTGTGATTTTTTATAAAAGTTGGTGGTTTAGAGCAGGTTTTATTTAGTAGAGTATGCAGTAGTAGGAGTAGTTGTAATATAATGCAGAACATTTCCTTTGAAATTATTTATGACAATTTTGATATACAATACGCTGTTAACAGAAACAAATTTTGTTTTGTTATTTAAACAAAATTAAAAAAAAAAAAAAGATTTCAAAGTTAGTTTTGTATGTCATTATCCTTGAAATCTCTTTTATTGTTTAACTTTCTCTTGTTTGGGGTTTAAATTCATACAATACCTTTAATAACTGTCTGTTTTTTTTTCTTTGCAAAAGTGTTAACCAAATTTAGTTTGGCTGTCTAAGTTTAGTAAATAATTAAGTATTTTATATTATTTGTATATCGTCTCTGCATTAAATAGATTAAAGTAAAATAAACCAAAAACTTAGTAAAATAAATAAGAATCATAATAGCACAGTATACAATATAATAGAATAGAATATTGAAAGTTATTAAAGTTAAAGTTTATAGTTTTGGTTTTTCATTTTCGTTTTTTTTGTTAATAAAGTTAATAGAGTTGTAAGTTTTATAGATCTTTAAGGTTTTACTTAACAATCCTTTTAGCTTTTTTTTCTTTAGTATTATAATTATTATTAATAATAATTATTATTAAATAATTCTTTGTTCTTTTGTTAATAAGTTTTCTGTTTGTTTCAAATATCACATACTGTTGTGTAGTATGTTTGCTCGTACAATATCAAAATTATATTCGATTTAGATGCACAAAATATTATCTACATGGTATTTGTGTGTCCTTTATCTTCTCTTTAGTTTAATTATAATATTTTTTTTTTCAATTTCTGTTTTTTTTTTAATTATTATTATAAATTAATGAATATGAATGGTATGATGTATGTAAATATTAATGCTTAATTAGTGTTGTATGATTTATAATCACTTATTGTTACGAACGGTGTCTGAATGTCTTGTCTGTTTAGCTGACTGTTTATTTTACTTAAATGTATATGAAAGTGTATGTCTGTCTGTCTGTCTGTCTGTCTGTCTGTCTGTCTGTCTATCTGTTAATGTCTGTCTGCTGTTTATTCAAAAGTGTCTGTTTGTTGTGTATTGCATGTTTTTTTTTTCTTTTGTTTTTGGTATATTAGTTGTCTGAAAACTCCTTAGTTCAAATTTCAAATGTCAATTGGCATTTCCTTGGCGTTAGTTCGATGCTTTTTTGTTTGAATTATAATTTAAACTTTATTTGGTTTTTTCTTAATTTCTTTGGTTATTTTGTTAATTTTTAAAGCGAATTCTTTTTGTGTGCATCACATTTATTCTATAAAGTTGCTAAAATGATCGAAAATTAGAAAAATTGTTTTGACTTTATTAAATTCTATAATACCAGCTTATACCGTTATTATATAATCAGTTTAAAGTTAAAAAAACAATTTTTATAATCCACGTTTGCAAATTAGATGAATGAGGAGTTGACGGAATGCTTTCAAATGCTTTAATTATGGCTGTTGTGAGACTTAAAGTTTTTTGTACCAATACAAATAATGTTCACCATCTTCCACCATTAGTTCGTCCACACCTTAAAGACAAATTAGGAAAAAAAGGTGAGAAACTACTTTTTACTCTCCTTTTTCTCTATAACTTACCAACTGGTGCTATAAGCTGATTTCCGGGAGCATTATTGGGATCAGGAAGTTCGGGCAAGCGATAAAGTAACCAATAGTTGTACCTATTAAATAAAAAGCATGTAAATGTTCTAATTTTTAAACTAAATTAAAAAAATTACCCTCTGGGTTCTTCCTTTTTGCCAGCCAAGGTATGCACATAATGACCATTTGGCCATTCTCGAGCTTCAAAGGCAAACCTGGAAATGAACAGGAAATTGTTAATGTTTCTCCTCAAAACATATAGAACATTTTAAAAGTAACAATTTGAAAAGTTTAAAAAATAATGATTTCCTTACCTTGAATCCATTTCAGCCGCCTGGGTCATGGCTTTAAAGAAAGTGGTATTTTTCGGTGAAACTAAAGACAGGGAAATAGCTTCGGTTACGTTAGAGCCTACCCACAGGGTATAAGTGTAAGAAACATTTCTTGAATCAGATTCTTCGGCTGATGTAGTTAAACCATAAGGAACAGCTAACTTTTGCTCACCATTCTCTGTTAAAAAAACCATAGGAAATAATAAAGTATAATTTCACTTCTTACATATAAAATTCTACTCACCCGAAGATGGGTCACTATTCTCTCGTATAACATGATCACATTGTAAAGCTCTAACGGCTCCTAGGCCCTTCCAACCCAAAGCTAAAATAATATCGGCTGTTAGGCCCACCCCAATGTCTGGATCTTGACCATCTTGCAAAGGTTCCTCACTCCAGCCACCATCCTCACGTTGGCGGCTCAAAATCCAACGAGAAGCAGCCGTTCTATTCCAAGAACCAGCGGGATCATGTTCCAGATCCTGTAAGGCCTGCATAGCTAAAGCGGTGCTGCGCAAGGAACCGAAATTACCGCGGGGATCCTGTAAACTGGCTAGACCTCTAGCAGGTCGGCGCACAAAATGCTGCAGATGCCTATGGCGATGATCGGTGACAATGCAGCGTAAAGCCAAAATAACCTGGAAAATAAAGCAAGTTATGAATTAACATTAAAAATTCTTCCCAAAACCACCTACCATGGCAATTGTATCCACACTCTGATCGGTTACCCCACTGGCTATGTCCAATAGTCTACGAATTTGTCTCTTTCTTACATGAGCCGCCGAACTGCAGGCCGACAGGGTGGTCAAAGCAAATTCTATATCTTGTGTGGGTTCATGATGTTGCAGTGTGGCTACTAAATCATGACCATGAAAATGTTTAGGATCTTTACAAAGAGAGCCCAAGGCCAAAACATAACGTGCCAATTTTTCCAAATTCAAAGGCTTAGGTAAAGTATGATGCCTGTCCAACATGGCTAAAATTTCTATTTCCATTTCTTTAACCGACAACATGTCTTCCAATTCCTGAATAACCTGCAAATGACCATCGGCATCGTAGGGATCTCGGGCACCCGACAACTCTTTAGCCAATATAACCACATGGGTGTCATTACCCCAACCATAATCGGGGGCTCTTTTCATTTTTAACCAATCTAAAGCCTTTAAAATGGCCTCTTGTTCCCTTTTATCGGGCCCAGCTGAACCCAGTAGCTCATGCATTGAAGTGGTCGAGGGTGGTGGAGTTGGCTCTACTGTGCTTGTTTCTACTACAGTTTCCTGTCCTACTTGTAGAGATTGTAAAGTAGGTGGAGCATCCGTGGTCATTGAATTAACAGTAGAGACATTTAGAGACGGACTTGTAGAGACACTTATATCTGTTGGTGTAACAACTGTAGCCAGTGATGTAGCCTTTACAAATGATCCATACTGCAGGGTATTAATGTTTAAAATTAAGAATGTTGTTATAAAAAACACACTGACACTGGGTATTCTATTATCCTGAGACATTTTGCTGGAAAACGAAAAAGGAATTAGAGTTTAATAACTTGATATTTTATGAAATTAAAATAAAAAATAGCAGTGCCAAGAACCTGAATTTTTTTTACGAGAATCATATGAACAAGAACGACAATAACACAAAACATCAACAAATAAAAGCTGGAAGCCAGCTTGGGAAACCCAAACAGAGGCATTTGGTTGAGAACAAAGAGGGCGTCTTGACTATCGAGCCAAGCACTTCAATAGCTGCAAAAGAATCTATCTAGTCCCAAACAAACGAATGAAGCAGTTGACAGTTTAGAGTGTCAAAGAAGACTTCGGGTTCAACAACTGGTCCCAATTTTGATATGTCTCTATATTGCTTCAGTTCTCAAATAAACCCAAAGGTAGCGGACTAAGTCATTTCTGCAGAGCATAACCGGCAGCATTCGGAGGAGATTCAATGACTCCAGTAGACCCCCAAAAGCGAACTGAGACTCGAATAGTCAACGGTAACTCTGGAAAGTTGTATAATAATCCTCCAAAATTGTTGGGGGATATTCGGAAAGAGTATTGCGTCCATTTAAAATTTATCATAGTCTGGGGAATTTGTAAAGAATGTCTATCTGCAAAGTTTATGACAAAATCTTTCCTAGTTTTTAACGAAAAGTTTTTTAAAATTTAAAAAGTGTCCTCAAAGAAGTTTTATAACTTTTACTGCAAACTTCATACTGCTTCATGTTTTCGTCATAAAGCAAATAAAACAACATAAAAATTAGGACATTAACCTTGAACGTTACTCGCAATAACGGCATTTAGACTCTCCACCAAAAAATATATATATATAAACTGAAGAGTTCTATAGATATAGTCAACATCAACAGTCTTCTTTCTCTCTATATGATGCAAATCAATAGAATTTCTCACTTGCATTTATTTGTTTAATTAGCGGAGAGGTCATGCAAGTACATGTGCAACGGGTGGGTTGGTACGTCAGCAAAAACATTTTAAAGGGATGACTGAAAATTATCGATTATTTTGTGTGTGTTTATTTAGACAAAACTGAAACCGAAATGACCCCAGAAGAGCACCAATTACAGCTGTTTAAAATGAAATTCAAAAGAATTGTATTCGATAAGAAAACCAACTGAAGAAAGAGGTAGGCAGGTGTATATTGCTTGGAATATACAAAAAAAAAAAAAAAAAAAAAACAAGTTAAATACTCCCATTTATGCACACTTAGACATAAACTCAGGTGTGGTGTGAGAGTGTGTATAATTTGTTATTGTGTGCAGACATACGGATGTACTTGTTTTGACAACGAATGCGACAATAACAAAAATGCAACTCACAAGTTAAAGTTAGCTGGTGATGTTGTTGCTGCTGCTGTTGTTATTTTAATGCAAGTAGGTGTTATTGAGGTTGTTTTTGTAAAAGAAAACTTAAAATCAAAGGTTACATAAGTTTTAAATCCTTTACCCACACAAACTCTCTATACAACTTTGAACAATCAAGCTGTTCGCCTTAAACAAAGAAAATTTTGACAATTTTAAACTACTTTCTTAGAAAAAAAGTTTCTCTAAGCATTTTTAATTACTAGACAAAGGAACACACCCACCCACCCTTGCATTCTTAGGAGTTTTTCCTATAAAAAACACACATAAACTTATGTACATACAAACACGCACTTTTTCATATATACAAATGTATATAAGCAAGAATTACTCATGGCACTGTCCGCAGCAAATTAATGATTCATATTTTTTTCCCTTTTAGTGGCCACTGACACTGAAAAAAAGGAGTCACTGTGTGTTGAAAATTTAATAAAGTAGTTACCCGTTTTTCGTATAGACTTTGTTTTTCCAATTGATAGCTTCTAATAACTTAAAAATGTATTGTAACACTGTCGTTTTAAATTGATTTATTTTCGTTAATTTCGTTTAATAGTTGAAAGTATAGTGTCGCACGTAATGCAATAGATTTTTATTGAATTTTTTATGTAATCGTTTATGATACATTTAGGAGATTTTTCACACACACGCGTTAACTAGTCGTCGCATTATTTCACAAAAATTTTTAAACTCTGTGAACAATCTGGAATATATTTTATTTGTGTTGCAACATTTTTACTTTATTTTTTTTTCGTTATTTTATAGTAAATTTTCTTTTTACAGTTTTTATGAATAATAAGTTTCGTTTAAGTTTTCGATGTTGTCTGCGTTGTGAAATTTTAAGGATGACTTTTCTTTTTGTCGTGTGTCTAAATTTTATTGTTTTTTTTATTATATTTGCTCGTTTGAGTAGTGGTTGTGGTTGAGATAGTTGTATCCTTTACTTCTTCGATTAGGCAATATTTTCTAATTGCGTCTTCTTTCCTATACGGTACTCGTTCGTACGAGTCTTTTGTACTTATTTTTACTTTGACATTTACGAAGCCAACCAACCATTATTATTATTGTCTATGAGTCCTTTTTGACAGCTGTCTAGTTTGACGAGCGTACGTACGAACGGCTGATGGTTGTTAAGTTCGTGTAAGGATAAAGATTTTAATGTCAGTTATATTTAATTTGCAATAGATGTCGCTGTTAATATTTAGTTTACATCCGGTTGTGTGATTTAATAACATCCCACTTTCTGGGGTTTAATATATTGCTGAGTTTATAGAGGTCTCTCTGGTATAAAAAATTGTATCCAATTTTGAATCCCTTAAATATCTGAGTTGATGTTGAAAAAGGTTGTATTTGAGTGGTTTTACAACTAAAATTTAAGTTAAAAACACTCAAGAAATTTTATCACAAAAGGATCTAAATCGTATCGTAATACGATTCGAAAATATACTTTTATAAGAAAAGCAACTCGTAAAGTTAAATGCTCTGATTCTTTTGTGCGCAAATCTGGTTCGATGTCGTATAAAGTTCAGATAAGAAGCAAAAAATACGAGGCAAAAAAATTTGGTAAAATTTTATAAAAAATACACTTGTATGATGGATGATGAAACTTATGTATTGGGAGACTTTTCACAACTTACGGATTAAGATTTTTATGCGGTGTTTGGACGAAAACAAACAGAATTCCCCAAAAATTTTTTGTATGTCAAGCCAATTGCTGTTACGGCAAAAGAAGCCAATCATCGGGCTTAATAAACGCAGAAATATCTATTACAGATTGTCTAATATAGGGGGTTTACCTGATGTGTGGCTGATGGACGATAACAAACAGAATTCCCCAAAACATTTTTTGTATGTCAAGCCAATTGCAGTTACGGCAAAAGAAGCCAATCATCAGGCTTAATAAACGCAGAAATATCTATTACAGATTGTCTAATATAGGGGGTTTACCTATCTTTAAACAGCTCATAGTGTCTTCATATTTCTGGACGGATTTGTAATTCAAACCAAATGGTTTGGACACAAACTGATTCTCATGTTTTTTCGTCAGTTTCTCGGTTATAGTTTTTTAAAAAATTGCTGGAAATGTTATGGTAGCTTAATTGCAGATTACAAATTTCAATTAATTTCTCATCTCAGCTTTGGCTTGAAGGGTAGTTGAGACTGTGGCCCCATACATACTTTCATTGGTTCTCGAATTGGGATTTGTTTCAAAAAGTCTGAGGTGTCTGCTTTACCTTACGTAAAAAATAATATTTATCTACGAATCGTTGTATATTGGAGTATGCCAACCCATATGATCTTCATTAGATTACAATGATATGTGGGCTTTGTGAGTTTTGAGCCGACGGCGTTATTGAATCCGTTTTATTTTAACTGATCTCTGTGCTGTCTTTAAGACCAATCTTTGCAGTAGGTTTCTTAAACGATTAGAGGTGCAAAGTTTACTTTAACTAGTTGCCAAAATCGTGAGATATCATCCATTTTTACTATTCTGTGGTTGAAACCGCTGCCCTAACCGAACAATCTGTAATATAGCGAAATTTCCGTAATAAACATAACCTCGCGTATTGCCTAACATCAGCTACATATATCAATCTGTCTTAACTATTTCCTTCTTCAATCTTTTCAGCTGAAGGGCAGATTAACATTACAATTTAGAACATTTTGTTTCATTCTTTTATCTATTTTCTTAAGCAAACAATTACAAAATTGTATAATTTTCCTAATTACTATAGATTTAGATTATCATTTGACTACAGTTTAAAAGATTTATATAATTATCAGCAGATGTTTCGAAAATATGCAAAATGTAGTTAGTTTGATCAAAAATTAATGATAAGAAACAGTTGTAAAAAAGGAAAAGAATCAATTCATAAAATGTTGTATTTACAACAAAATTAAAGATGTTTTTTACTTTAAAGTCAAATTATTGATTTTTTGGTAGCATTAACTGAACCCATATTAGTGTTTTAAGTAAAAACCGAAGATGTTCTTATGTATACCCACTTCCCTGGCTGTCTATCCCTAATAGAGAGAAACAACGAAAAGTTTCTTTAGGTCCCATTTGTTGAATATACATTTCTTTGTAAGAATTATCCTTAATTAGTTGTCTATTAATAGTTGTGAAACGATCTGTTAATCTTTTTAATGATCTATTAATAGTTTTAATGATCTGGCACTTACGTATCTATAAGACTGGTCTTAAGTGCCTATTTCATGGAGACCGTTTTTCAATCGCTTTTATATTATGTTGAGAAAAGCTCTTGATTAAGGGATTATACACTTGTTGCTTTTACATATGGAACTTGGACCGTAATATCATGTACAATGGGAGAAATTGCCACTAAAATGAAAAATCACGGGGCTTTACTTAAAGCAGTCTTTGCCCACTTTTCTAAAGTATTGGGTTTCAAGTCAACTGTGTGACGATGGTGATTCTGAAAACAGAGGGAAAAGGAAATATACACGCCTGGTACCAAATTGACACCAAAGAGTTTATAATTTTTCAATAACATCCGTTGTCAATGTATATACATACGTACGACAACACTATGCAATGTTGAAAACGCAACGGATTGTTTGTCAATAGTGAGCTTACCACGTTTGTTAACATTTAGACAACGGATGTGTATAAAATTTAGATTTCGACAACGAATTGTTGCAATGTTGTCAACATTATATAGTGTTGTCGTACGTACATATGTATATACTTTGTCAACGGATGTTATTGCGCAATTACAAACAGTTTGGTGTCAATTTGGTACCAGTTTGGTGTCAATTTGGCTCTTACCAATTTGGTAAGAGCAAATTTATCGAAATCAAATCTTCACGAAAAGATATTTAAAAGGAAAAATCTAAAGGGGGCTTAACTTTAGTCGATAGATGGTCTTTATTTGGATCTCTTTTTTGTTCAAACAACAATTATTACATCACTAAATATTGCGATGTGAAAGATGACTGTAAAACTAAAGATCATGTCTAAAACATTTGTTTCCCTGACAATAAGACATTAAGTTAAAAAGAATTAAGAATTGTTATTTAAGCTTTAAATCGAAGATCTTTGTATGGATCTCTTTTTGGTTTACATTCAAACAATTATTACATCACAAAAATCCGCAAAGAATGATAAATAAGAAAGATCTTGTCTAAAGCATTTGTTTCCTTTAAATCTTTTACGAAAGCAAGAGGTGTGTATCCTCTAAAGAATTCTCAACTACCTGTAGTGGGTGCTACAGCAATTCATTTAATCTTTTGTTATTGCATCCTTTTCCTATCGAAACGGAATGTATTGTATGTGTTTTTTGTTATTTATTTAAAAGGAGTCATAGTGAAAGGATGATACCCAAACCATGTCCTGATGTATTCATTCAAACAGCTCGTTTTTTGAAAAGTTTTGTTCTTGTTGAATATCGAAATGAGTATGATGAATATAAGGATAATTGTTGTATGTATGAAGATTTTTTTTTGTGAAACAGGATCATTTTCTGTGATTTAAATATGTTTGTACGATTGTCTGTCTGTCAGTTAGTTTTATTATGTAAGTATGTTTATGAAATTTTGTTTTGTTTTCTTTTGTAGTTATTTTATTTATTTAAGCCGAGAGCAAAGTACTAAAAAAATAATTGCAAACAATCAGATGTGTTGTAGTTGCTTGGTTAAACACAAAAGGATGCACCCTTGAGTATCACAGATACTACACGGTTTATATTATTTTGTTTTGGGTTTTTGTGTGAGTGTTTTGTTATAGATATTTTTTTGTTATTTTCATTTTGCGTAATCAAAAGTGGAAATTTGTGTGCGTTTTTTTATATTTCAAATCTAAACATTTTGAAATAGAAACAGTTAAGTACTTACTATTTTATTTTATTTCATTTCATTTGTTCTCCTTATTAGTTTTTTTTATGTATCTTATTTATGCAATAAAAGCAACTGCAACAACAACTGAAAAAGCCGCTGTGATAAAAATACTGCTGGCAGGCATAACTATTAGCAGATGTTTAAATATTTATGTACTTAAAGTTGAAATTCTGTTGAATTTCAAAACATTTTATTCCATTTTACTTTATTTCATTTCATATCAAATCAAATCATCTCGCTAACAGCATGTAATTGCCTAATTTGAGTTGAATTTGCTAGAGTTTGAGGAAAAGGGAGAGTTTTTAATATTAAACTTCATCGTCATCATCTTTAGATTTAGAAATATCTACGTACGTATATCTATGTACGTTTGTATGTAAATACATTTTTAGTTAAAAATTCAAGTGCTTACTATTTTATATACTTGAATACACTGAGAACAACTTAATAAAGTTTTGAAAACAAATTTGAAAAAGGCCAACATAATTGATGTTGGCTGACTAGACTCTAGTTCAGTTCTATTTCACTTCTAGTTTAGTTCTAGTTCAATTCTAGTTCAATTCTAGTTCAGTTCTAGTTCAGTTCTAGTTCAGTGCTAGTTCAGCTCTAGTTCAGTTCTAGTTCAGTTCTAGTTCAGTTCTAGTTCAGTTCTAGTTCAGTTCTAGTTCAGTTCTAGTTCAGTTCTAGTTCAGTTCTAGTTCAGTTCTAGTTCAGTTCTAGTTCAGTTCTAGTTCAGTTCTAGTTCAGTTCTAGTTCAGTTCTAGTTCAGTTCTAGTTCAGTTCTAGTTCAGTTCTAGTTCAGTTCTAGTTCAGTTCTAGTTCAGTTCTAGTTCAGTTCTAGTTCAGTTCTAGTTCAGTTCTAGTTCAGTTCTAGTTCAGTTCTAGTTCAGTTCTAGTTCAGTTCTAGTTCAGTTCTAGTTCAGTTCTAGTTCAGTTCTAGTTCAGTTCTAGTTCAGTTCTAGTTCTAGTTCAGTTCTAGTTCAGTTCTAGTTCAGTTCTAGTTCAGTTCTAGTTCAGTTCTAGTTCAGTTCTAGTTCAGTTCTAGTTCAGTTCTAGTTCAGTTCTAGTTCAGTTCTAGTTCAGTTCTAGTTCAGTTCTAGTTCAGTTCTAGTTCAGTTCTAGTTCAGTTCTAGTTCAGTTCTAGTTCAGTAGTTC